GCCAGTATTTAATCACCCTTATGTTGTTTCAAACCTCAATGTGTTTATTTGTTCTGCTGAACACAAAGGAAGATATTTGGAAGAATGTTTTAATAAAACAGATCTCATTCCCCATTGACTACCATAGTAGGAAAAAATACATACTATGGTAGTCAATGGGGAATGAGATCTGTTTGATTAAAACATTCTTCCAAATATCTTCCTTTGTGTTCAGCAGAACAAATAAACACATAGAGGTTTGGAACAACATGAGGGTGAGTAAATACTGACAGAATTTTCATTTTTGGGTGAACTAACCCTTTAAGTGGGGTTCTTTTGTTGCTTTTTTATTTCAAGAGTTTGCAGATAGGGGTGAACTTAATTAAAGTCCACATTACAAGATAAAGGTAGCCTACAAGGGCAGGATGAACATGACAGAAATTTTGCTACCGTATTTTCTGTAATATCAGACACATATTTTTTTTCATCTCTCAAATGTGTTGCGACTTATATTCCAATAAGTGATATGATATAAGTTATAAATATAAAATAAATATTATATAAGTGATATACTGCAATTCAAAAGTTCACCTGCCCATTCAGCCTTAAAAGTAAATAGTAAACTAACTTGGCTTTCTGTCTTTTGAGGAGGCTTAAACCCGAGGCTCGGCTCGAGCTCAGAGTTAAACCCCCTATGATGCTACTGCAGATAGATGGAAAGAGAGAATTTGAGTAGGAGATGGGGAGGAGGACTGCTGCTGAAGAATTTGCCAATGGGATGACGCATTGTCTGGTGCTTATATAGTAGGCTTGAAATGATGATTGACAGGACTGAATGTTTAGGCTCCTCCCTAAACCTATGTTTGGTACTTCATTTAATATCAAGCACAAAAAAATACACAAAGCAGATTCATTTGGATTTGTGCCAAATGTAAGTGGTAATATGTGAGCCCATGTTTATTTGTATAGCCCATTGCTCATTTTCTCTCAACAATGCAATTTTGACCCAGGGTGACTGTCAAGGATAACCTTTTTTTTCAATAGTCTCTGACTAATCAAGGCTTTTGTCTTCATTACTTTTAGAATTTAATTTCTGTAGTACGTTGACATAGAACATTCTGTTTTATTTTCGCCTCAGAGCATATTCGTTTTTTCTTCCCGCTCCCATGCAATCATTACTCTACGTCAATCAGCTGTGACGTGCATCAAATAATCTTTAAATTATATAGATTACATTACACAATTGAACCTGTCAATTATATGCTGGGAGTAAAGATCAGGGGAAATGCGTCACTGCTGGTTGTCTATGAGTAGGCGCAGACCCTCCCCGAGCTGACACACAGCCAGGAATCTCTTTAGCCATCTGGACAGTTTATATGTACAATTACTTGTGTTATATATTAGTTTGCACCAGTGACCAGATCTGTCAGATAAAATGCTATTAGTTTTCATATTGGCTGCATAACACATTTTCTTGCTTCGCACTTGGGATTTAAAAAAAAAAAAAACCTAACCCCAAGAATCAAACTTTGTTGAATAGCTCATCCCAAACCAACCAGGCTCTCTTGCATAATTTCTAGTTAAAACATTGTAATGTGATATTTAAATATTTGCTTCTTTATCACTACAGCTCTCTCTATTCTGTTATAAATTATTAGCTCGATATTCTGCCTCAGAAACCTGAACTAACTTTGAACGCAAACACTCCCTAAGAAGGCAATGGCTTATACGGCAGCAAGGCAACAAGTCAGCTGCCTAAGCTTTGGTCTTTCAATTGATTTGAGCGAATTCGCCCACATTAATGACACCAAAATGGGCAAGAACCCCTCCAATATTCTTCAGCAAGTGTAAAAATTTATTTGAAGAAGCTTGACAAAGACACACTTAGTTTCATTGTGGCTTAGCTTTTTTTAAAGGGATGCATTCACTAAAATGCAAATAAAGGTGTGATCAAGTTTACTACTGTTCTTTGAATTTTACTTGGTGAAATCCAGTCATTTCAATAGAAATCCATGCAGTTGGGTATTTCACATGAGGATGAAACATTTCCCTACAAACAGTGCAAGTCAAATTCTGTTCATATTTTTTTCCCAAGCACATTTTACCAATTCCAAACCACATCAATTTAAATAAATACTATTCACTTTGTGAATAATCATTTAAAAGTGATATATATTTGTTAATGATGGCTGGAAGTGAAAAACGCCTTATTCGGAAGTGAAAAAACGCTATTCAGTTTTGCATAATTATTAAGCAGTCATAATGTGAGGAAAATTCAGGTGGTGTGGACCATAATCAACCCCAACTGTTGGGTAATGGAGCTAGAAGTTCAATCCAGTGAAGGTGGCCATAGAATGTATTCCTCCTCGACAGAGGGGGGCTGGGTTCTACAGCCAGTACTTCATAGTTCCCATGACGGTTAGACGGTTGCGCCCAAGGGGGTAATCCATCGACTGGAAGTTGAAGCCTCGCGGGAGCTGCCATCTTGTAGTAGAACTTCACTTTCGTTAGCATTCCCATTGACTCCCATTCATTTTGCCGTCACTTTGACGGCGAATAACTTTACATCTGAGGCGTTTGAAGACCCCATTTGTCCTTTATTTATTTCTAAAGAAACACGACAATGTATAAAACGCTCCATTACCTTGTAGCTTATGTTATGGCCCCGTTGAAGCAGTTTTTTGTAAAGTTGGCTAACGATTGTGTTATACCCACGCGACTCTCTGTCGCACAGTAGAGAGATTACCATATGGACAGGAGGAGAAGCTCGCGGGCAATCGGGGAAACGTGGAGGCAAAATGACAAAATAATTAATCAGAATACCTAGCAAAAGTGTCTCCTGCTCCTAGCTCATGGACAACTCCTACTCACTCTCCGCCTCTGCATGTTTGGGAAGGGAATGATTCAGATTTCTCATGCCACAGCACTAGAAGACAGACGGGTTGCTCACGTCACATCTACGTCGTCAAGCTCTGTTTGAGTCTGCGCGTCAGGGATGGAAGTGCTAAAAAATCACCAAAAACTGGCTTCAATTGTCTCAATGGAGTTCCAATGAGATCGCTCTGTCCGTTTCTTATACTGTCTATGGTTGCGCCCCATTGGTCTCTGAGGAGATTCAGGTTCAGATTCCCTATTATCGTGAGACAAATCAGGTCCGAGGACTGGTTAGTCACGATAGATCTCAAGGACGCGTACTTCCACATTTACATCCTTCCTCAACACAGGAAGTTCCTGCGGTTAATTTTGGAGAAGAGAAAGCAAACCAATACCTGGTTCTTCCGTTCGCCTAGCGTTATCCCCTTCGCCAAATGTATGGATGCAGCACTGGCTCTGCTGAGACTCCAGGGCATAAGGAAACAAAATTATATCGAGAACTGGCTCATCTTAGCCCCGTCGGAAGAGATGGTTGTTCGTCATTGAGGTGCCGTTCTTCGCCATATAATGTGCTTGGGATTGAGACTTAATGTCAAGAAAAGCTCACTGTCTCACCAGAAGAGAACTATGTTCCTGGGAGTAGTGTGGGACTCTACTACAATGCAGGCACAGCTGTCTCTTGCTCATATAGAGACCATCTTGACCACAGTCACCAACATCAAGATAGGCCAAGCCATCACTTTCAAACACTTTCAGAGAGTGCTGAGGATTTTGGCAGCAGCGTCCAACGTAAGGAGAAGGATGAGGCCTGGCCGTGATTCTAGAGGGATTATCCCTAGCACCTTTCAAACCTATTGACTAGGTGTCAGGGAAGTTTTTGACTCTTAAAATGGCTTACCTGCTAGTAATTACGTTCCCCAAAAGAGTTGGGGACCTGCATGCTCGTTTCTCCCTCTCGCCTCGAGTTCACTCCTAGGACGATAAATCCCATTCTCCACCCTAGGCATGGCTATGTACCCAAGGTGCCATTGAATGTGGCACCATCTGTGAGTGTGCAGGCTTTTCTGCCTTCACCACACGTGTCAGCAAATCAAGGCTACACTTATAATGCCCTGGAGGCCTATGTACGTAGGACCTACGTTTGGAAGTTGTCAGACCAGCTATTAGTACTTAAGAAGGGTTCTCCTGTCTCAAAGCAGACAATTAGCAGGTGGATTGTGGAGGCTATTTTCCCCTCGCCTCTGCTGATAAGAGCCCACTCAACTAGAGGAGTGGCATCCTCTAAAGCCTTGCTATCAGAGGCTTCCCTTCTAGAAGTCTGTGATGTTGCTGGCTGGGCCTCCCCACACACCATCATTAGATATTATAGCTTGGATCTGACCTCCATGCCGGCTTCTCAAGTCATCTTGTCCTGAGCTGTGCCTAGACAAGCTTCACATCATGAAAGGCACTTGTCAGTGTGGCACAGTGGGTATTTCGTGTCGTCTTCTAAGCAGTGCAAGTTATCTCTTAAGAGAACGACTTTAACCCTTGTTCTCTGAGAAGAGAACAAGGTGCTGTGTCCCTTTCCACACCTCCAGAGTGCCTGAGAATGACTGGCTTCGACCTATCAGAAGCTATCACTGTTGAGTGCCGGCTCCCCTTTGTAGCTTCTGTGTATGCCGTCACATTACGTCATGATGACGCAACCCCACTCGAAATTTTACACTTGCTTCAGACACTTTCATGCTGGAGGTGTTCTTCAAAGAGTCATCTTCTACACAGCATCTCATTCCCTTCTCAGGGAATCTCATTCCCTTCTCAGACGTTTTTCACTACCACCCCCGTTATCTATTATATATCACTATTAAATTGTATACAAAATCAATTGTAGTTATTTAGATTAATGTGGTTTGGAATTGGTAAAATGTGCAGAATATTGACTTGCATAGTAATTGCAACAGATTTGCTGTGTTGACCAATAAAAAGCTACTTAGTTTGAAAGTGACTTCTGTGTGAGCTGAGCTTCATACATTGCTACACCATTAACAATATACAACGGACCTTTTTTGCCTGTACATTTTTTCTTATGTACTTCCAAGCAGAATGAATATACTAATGTATACTACATATACATTGACTTTTCTTTTTCGTTTTATCTGCTACAGATTTTGGCTTTGGAAACTTCTTCCGTCCCGGGGAACCCTTGACCACTTGGTGTGGAAGCCCACCATATGCAGCTCCAGAGGTGTTTGAAGGTCAACAGTATGAGGGTCCGCAACTGGACATCTGGGTAAGAGCTTGGCAATACACTATGTCAGATGGAAATACTATAGTAATTTGATATGAAAATATATATAAAACTGAGTTCCATATTCATGTACCGTGTTATTATGTTATTTACATGGTAACATCATAATCACGTAAAGCCCCTGCTGGTGAAAAAAGCCTTATCTGGTTGGTTAATCTTAGCTTTTTTAAGATCAATGTAGCTGGTCTCCCAGCCTGGCCAAGCTGGTACTGCTGGTTTAAACTGGTTGGTCAGCCCCTGGCCTGACCAGCTGAGCAGCCTCATCATCTAAAGATGTGGTCAAAACCCCTCTAAAGCCAGCCTGTTAAACCAGTTATGACCAGCCTGGAAGACCAGCCAACCAGATTAGCTGTTTTTTTTTTAGGAGAATTATAGGCTCTATAGAAAATCTCTGCTGTGTGATCGTTTATATTGTCATAAAAGGGTCAACTTTATTATCACACAGCTCTATATAAAGATAGAGCCCCATAAAGTGAAATATACTATGTTACAAATCTCAACTGCCTGATTTATTTAGTCATAAAATGTAACTATATTATCACCCAGCTCTTTATATAAAGTTGTATATATAAGTATGTCCAACTTTATTTTAATACATACAGTATACTTACATTTTATTGCTTGTATTGTGTATTGTTAAAAACGCTACATGTATATTTGACTTGGCTTGACATAGTTCTCCAATAAATAGCATGGAATGATCATGTCCACAAAACCATTTTATTACCATGGTACCATGTTTAAAAATGCATGGTAATACCATATTCGGGGGCATCAAACTAATATGTATGTATTAGACAGCAGACGAAATAGTTGATTTGTCATCTCAGTATGGAGAATTGCGTCATCAACTAATGGTAATTAAATTGATTGAAAACATAATTATAATTTCCAGCATTGTGTGTGGGTGGTCCTTTGTGCTAGCTCCTAGGCAGAGATTTATGTTTATTTATTGATTTTCTGTCTATGTGTGTGTCATGTAGAGTATGGGGGTGGTTTTGTACGTGTTGGTGTGTGGCGCTCTTCCATTTGACGGCCCTAGCCTTCCTGTTCTCAGACAGAGGGTCCTAGAGGGTCGTTTCCGCATCCCCTACTTCATGAGTGAGGGTGAGGAAGTCACAATAACACAATTATACGACTTTTCATGCATGTTTGAGTTGGCATGAATCAACCACCCCAATATCTATATCATTTGGAATCAATACTGAATAACAGTGTTGGCGATTAAATACTACATATTTAGTACATTGCTGCTTACACTAGACGATAAAGCTTTGGAAGGAGGCAGCATCTCATTTGAGCTTATTGTATTCAATGTATAATATTTCAGACTGTGAGCACCTGATCAGGAAGATGTTGGTTCTTGATCCAGCCAGACGTTTGTCCCTGAGTCAGATCAAAGAACATCGCTGGATGGTGCAGGAGGTCCCGTCCCAGCGGCCTGTGCTCTACAGACAGGGTTTGCCCTGCGAGAGCAAATCAGGCTTGGGTGAGCACAGTGAGCAGGTCCTGCGACTCATGCACAGCCTTGGCATCGACCAGCAGAAGACTATTGAGGTCAGTTGATCAGCTTTTACTTGGCCAGGGTTTGGAATGTGATTAATTCCAGTGCGATTCCTCAGATCAAACTGCTTTTGAATTACGGTTGAAAACAGGATGTAGAACTGTTATTCAAATTTGACGTTAGGAAAGTACAGTGGAACTGAAAATTCAGTTCAAATAAATTTCAGATTGAATTGAAATGAAATTATGAAAAACCTTAAAGGGATACTCCACTTTTTTTTGGAAATAGGCTCATTTTACTACTCCCCCAGAGTTTTTTGAATCCATTCAGCCGATCTCCGGTTCTGGCGGTACCACTTTTAGCATAGCTTAGCATACATTATTGAAGTGCACTAGACCATTAGCATTTCTCAGAAAAAAATGACCAAAGAGTTTTAATATTTTTCCAATTTAAAACTTGACTCTTCTGTAGTTACATCGTGCATTAAAACCGACGGAAAATGTAAAGTTGCAATTTTCTAGGCTGATATGACTAGGAACTATACTCTCATTCCTGCGTAATAATCAGGAAACTTCACTGCCGTAACAAGAGTGCAGCAGGCGTAATGTTATGACCCAGCGCCTGAAAATAGTCCCCAGCTTCCAACGTGACCGGGACTAAGTTTGTGTAATCATCGCGCAACTTTACATTTTCCGTCTGTCTTAGTGCACGATGTAACTAGAGAAGAGTCAAGTTTTAAATAGGAAAAATATCTAAACACTTTGGTAATTTTTTTGGGAGAAATGCTAATGGTCTTGTGTACTTCAATGATGTATGGTAAGCTATGCTAAAAGGGGTAACGGAAATCGGCTGAATGGATTCAAAAACGGTAAATCTCAACAGTTTAACTCTGGGGGAGTTGTAAAATGAGCCTATTTCCAAAAAAAGTGGAGTATCCCTTTAAATGATGTTTGACGTAGCCAGCTATAAACTATATACATTTCATTATATTTGACTAAATGTCTAATTTTATGTGCTATTATTGAAGATTACTTATTGAGAACCGAAATTCTGTAATTTGCTCAATATATTCTTTCATAATTAGATTAAATTTTCAATTTCCGTATTTATTTTAATTAAGTTAATGAAGACATTTTGTTGTGCTGCATGTCAAAATTAAAATCTGTTTTAATAAAAAAAAAATTACTTTTATAATTTTTTTGGGGGGTGGTTATTATACTTTACATAAACATGAATAATTATTCAAAAACAATGGAATTATTAGTTATGTTTTGCATATTTCTGTAATTCAAATTCCTGTGGGTGAGCCCAGTTTGATTCTATTGACAATCCTTAGCCAATTCTCCAATTCTGAACTCTAGTAGTGTTTTTTTTCTTTCTAAAAATAATTTCTCCTCTGAATTCCAAATTTGATTTCTCCAAAGTAGAGCCTTTCAGAATCTTTTCAAACCGTACTGATAGAAATGTGACATTTCGAGTGTTCTCTTTCCTTGTCTGTCTTGCTCTCCTTGCCTTTCCTGTCACAGTCTCTCCAGAACAAAAGCTATAACCACTTTGCTGCTATCTACTACCTGCTTGTGGAGCGGTTGAAAGCGCATCGCAGCAGTTTCCCTGTGGAACAGCGTTTGCACGCCAGCCAGCGCCGCCCTAGCACCGTCGCTGAGCAGACGGTTGTCAAGGTAACCCCATCTGTGAAGTCTTCCCAGACATATTGAAATGGCGTTGGTAGAAAAATGTAAATATTGGAATCATGAGAAACTAAATCTGTATTCCAGCCACCCTTCTTTCAGTGTAACCTCTGTGACCGTAAACCATATAAACAAGCTTTCAAGGTTTGGTGGGGTGCTTGTAAACATTGAGTCCTTTTTGGATCCTTTTTATGGATTCATCAGCATATTCATTACATATTCATGCTGTATCAGATGGTACTTTGAGTCTAAGACTACTTAAAGGGATACTCCACCCGAAAATTAAAAAGTTGTTGCAAACCTATGTGAGTTTCTTTCTTCTGCTGAACACAAAGGAAGATATTTTGAAGAATGATTGGAACCAAACAGTTGTGGGGCACCATTGACTTCCATAGTAGAAGAAAAAAATAAATACTATGGAAGTCAATGGTGCCAAAATTCCAATCGCTCTTCAAAATATCTTGCTTTGTGTTCAGCAGAAGAAAGAAACTCAGGTTTGCAACAACTTGATGGTAAATAAATGATAGCAAAATTTTCATTTTTGGGTCCTTTAAAAGTACATGTCCAACCATGTAACATAGGTCCAACCATGATAGTTACGATTCCGTGATATTTATTGGTATTTTACAGACCATGGCGGTTCCCTCCCAAGCGTGCGTCCCTCCTCAGGCAGCACGTCACCTGCGTTCACCTGTTCTGTTGCAGTCCACCACAGACACATTTACCTTCCCACAAACCCCTGCTTCCCCAGATCAGACGCTCATTGAGGAAGACGTGGCCACTCCCAAGGTCAGTTATCAAAAACAAAGAGGGGAAAAAAGGTTATTAAATGGATTCTTCTTGCACAGAGAGAAATCTCTCATCCTCCTTTTGGGCTTGAGGCTATATTTCGTAAGCTCTGCCTGCATGTTTTAAATAGCAGCGTTACTCATTGGCGCTGCTGTATGACGGCAATAAGAGCTTTTGTCTGCAGCGTGTGAAGTTCCTCTGCCTGCGTGTCAGCCTGATCTCTTCCTCATTACTCACCCGCAGTATCTCCGCAGCATTTCAGCCTCTTAAAATAACACCTGCGTATATATATTAAATAATAAAAAACGCTCTTTATGATTTCAGCGGCTGGTGCCACCACTGGGGCTTTGCGTCAGTGTAGGTTTCACAAGCTCTCCTTGCTAATCATTCATATATGAATGACTCAGACAGAGGCAAGGGAATTTATTTATTTAGGCGATATGACAGTATGCGCTTCGTGACACCTGGAATATGTCAAACGGCAGAGATTTTGCTGTACCATTTCTACCGTGCTAGCAGGGCAGGGCGGTGTGATGATATAGATTGTGGCAGTGATTTTGCTATATCTTTTATATTGTGGTATGTACAAATATTTGTGTAGCACAGACAGTGGTGGAGGAAGTACTGAATCTCAGTACTTAAGTAAAAGTACAAATAACCAGATAAATATTTACTTTAGTAAAAGTAGAAGTAACACAATGACAACCATACTTAAGTAAAAAGTAGGGCTGTGCAAAAATTAATTGCGATTAATCGCATCCAAAATAAAAGTCTGTGTTTACATAATATATTTGTGTGTGCTGTATATAATTATTTTGTATATATAAATACCTATGCATGCATGTATATATTTAAGAATTATTTGTGCTTAAATTCTGTATATATATATATATATATATATATTATATAAATATAAATATTTTATATATGAATAACACATTTTCTTAAATATATACATGCATGTGTGTGTATTTATATATACAAAATAATTATATACAGCAAATATATTATGTAAACACAGACTTTTATCTTGGATGCGATTAATCGCAATTAATTTTTGCACAGCCCTAGTAAAAAGTAAAAAGTACCTGATTTTAAATGTACTTTAAGTATTAAAAGTAAAAGTACTTGCAATTGATGAATTGATAGAACAATTGATAGTCTTAATGACTATTTTCTAATGATTAATAAAACATTTAATTCTAACTCATTCAGCTCCTATAATGATGTTCAATAATGATGGAAAAAAAATTGTTGTCACCATTTTTGAAACAAGCTTGCAATTAGGCAATATAAACCATGCTTATCCTTACTATATGTTAATAACTTTGTTTGGCAGTAGACGCGATTAATTTATGGTGTAATTCTGAACCTCTTGGCTTACCATAATCCTAACCAAACGTATATTACACACGGTGTGTTTCCTATGCACGTAAAACCAATTTATAAATAAACGATAAACTCACTGCGTGCGAGACGCATTTAGTTGATGTATCTATGGCAACCAAACGTCACTGGTGAGACAAACGTGCAACGAACGGACGGGCAGGGGAAAAACTGATCAGAAAATGTAATGAAAAAGTAACAGAAGTCGTAGAAATGTAGTGGAGTAGAAAGTATAATAATTGCTGCAAAATGTAACGAAGTAAAAGTAAAAAGTATGCACTGTTTATTCTACTTAAGTAAAGTAAAGATACGTGAAAAATGTACTTAAGTAAAGTAACAAAGTATTTGTACTTCGTTACATTCCACCACTGAGCACAGATTGCACAGCTTAAAGTTATTGACACTTTAGGTTGTGTTCACAGGTTTGGTTTGATTAAAACAAACTCTGGTGCGATTGCTCTGATAGTGCGGTTCATTGAATAAGTGTGAACGCTGCCATCCGAATCCTGGTGCGCACCAAACAAGAAACAAACGGACTCTGGTGCGGTTCGACTGCACAGACCAAAACTACACAGACCAAAGACATCTAAATCAGGGTTCACCAATCTCGGTCCTGGAGGGCCACTGTCCCTGCAAAGTTTAGCTCCAACCCTGATCGAACACACCTACCTGTGAGTTTCTACTGATCCTGAAGACCTTGATTAGCTTGCTCAGGTGTGTTGAACCTAAATGAACTAAATGATGATCTAAATGAACCAAAAACTAAACAGGACAGAATGCTCAATCATGTTTTTTCACACCATAGGTGAACGTTGCACATTCCAGTCCGGTAAGGTGTCGAAAACGGCATCTCCTTAATGTAGATTAGGGTTCCTCAAATCCTGCCCTACATACTGTAGTTTATGGTGCGTTTAAGTCATGTCGGAAAAATTGTATTTATGTGTTGAATGTACAATAACGCCACCACAATGTCTTTAAAATGAGTGGGAGGCTCTGGATTTTCTTTAAACCCTGATCTTTACGAGTTGGAGGCATGTCAGTGAGAAACATGGCGGAATACCACAATACTTAAAGGGGTGATGAACTGAGAAATCAAATTTTCCTTGAGCTTTTGACATCTTAAGAGGTCATCATATTATAAGAATATCCTGTAAGTTTCAAAAGTGAAAACGTAATTGTTAGTCCAATAAAAGCTTTAATTGACACCGGGCTCAGCAAACGACTCGTTTTTCAAAGTGGGGAACTATGACGTCAAAGAGGATAAAACATCACGAAGAAGATCAACACGGCCGGTTTAGCCCCGCCCACTGATTCGCGCATTACATGCATAGCTAAATAACATAGATGCCTACTTCATGATGACAAACCAGATCGAGCTACCGAGCAAAACAAAATTTGTGCAGTGCCTGTTTGTGGAAGACAGTCGCTGCATAAGCTTCCTCTGGATTCCAATAGGACTGCATGGATAAACTTCATTATTAATGACGTTCCAGCTGATGAGGGTAAAACATTGTCCGTCTGTTCGCTTCATTTCACTGAGGATTGTTTTGTAAACAATACTGGATTTGCAGACCGATTAAGATTAAAGAACGGTGCTGTGCCGTCTATATTGGATCCGGCAGGAATGGTGCTACACACGGACTCTGGGTCGAACATGTATGGGCGAATCATTCCGGTTGCCATTTGTGCATCAACGAGTGAGTTGAAACTCATTATAATATGCAAAACTGTTCTCCACTCACAGCAGTGGGCGTTTACTTCCAAGTCTTCAGTGCGAGACGCCCATAAAAACCAAGCGTTTTTCAGCTAGGCTCAAAACTAGGGTAGAAAATAGCCTATTACTTATTCATTTTGATGTTTTTGAATGCAAAATCCATGTGAACGTCATAAGTTGACCTCAGACAACAATATAATAAAATTGAAAAAGCCAGTTCATGACCCCTTTAAAGGTGTTTAGCAATTATATTGTCAGGCTTTTTTAAGTTAATTGCCCGCACAAAATATTATAGCATTGTAATATATAACAATATAAGTAACGTATATATATTCATTTTCTATTAGTATTGAGTTAAAAACCTTGCTGTATTTTTGTATTGTAAATTAATTTAAAGAATGTAAATCACCATCTTACTTATCAAAGTGACTTTAACTGACGTCGTAAACACGACTTCCCACCTCGTAAATACGAACTTCCCAGGAGGACTTGAACGCAGCAAAATTTACAACCCTAATCAAACACAGCAGAACAAGTCAATCAAGGTCTCCAGAGTTGCAGGTAAATGAGTTTGACCATGGTTTGAGCTGAACACTGCAGGATAGTGGCCCTCCAGGGCTGGATTTGAGGAACCCTGCTGTAGATTTTTGTTTGTGTGGTGCTGTTTAGACTCCCTTACACATTTTATAAGCTTTTTGTGAGTTCTCAGCTGTTAAAAATGAACATCATAAGTACACACATACAACGAGCACATTTAGCCCAACACACAACATTGTTTTTGGATCTTTCCATAGTAGAACAAACATCATAAAAGCTTTTATTTTTTTATTTTTGTTTTGTATCTTAAACTTCAGTCTTAAAATGGCAGTATGAATGTTAAGCGAACCAGGAAATTTATTTTCGATAACACTTTAGTTTAGGGTCCAATTCTCTCTATTAGTGGCTTATTAGCATGCATATTACTAGAAAATTGGCTGTTTATTAGTACTTATGAAGCACATATTAATGCCTAATTCTGCATGACCATATTCTACATCCCTTAATCCTACCCAATTCCAAAACTTAACAAATACCTTAACTAGTTTATTGAGGCAAATTCATAGTTAATGATGAGAATTGGACCCTAATATAAGGTGTGATGTGATTTTCTTTTTTGGCCCAGCCCAAAAAAAAAAAGAAAAAAGAACCAAACTGCAACTGTGAACAACATCCTTAGTAACATACGTGATATGGAAAAATGCATGAATGAGAAAATAAAGGGCAGGTGCATGATGTTATTATGCGCAATAAGCCATGAAAAAAAGAACTCGATGCGATGCTTGTGCTAACTGAAGCGCACGCCCACAGAAAGCCACCTCTATTAGACAGTTGGGGGAAAACTGGATGTTTGTCAGTAGATTTGATACCTGCATGAGGTCTTAAAGGGACAGCAGCCTAATATACCGGTTGCTGTCTGTCATTAATCAAAGAACAAAAGATCTGAAAATCACTCTCTGCTCTTGACTGAATAGCTTTTGTATCTTAAATAAGAATCAATTTATATGTAATGTATACAGTGAAGACTTTGTAGCAATTAGTAGCTTTGAGGTCACCTGTGTACTGTGTTCTAGTGGACTGTTAAAAGTGGCACTTTATCTGAAAATAGGATCAACATCTTTTGATGAACCATCTTGCACTACACACATTTTACACATACTTGCACTTGTCTTTTAAAAACAATCAAATATGAAATCTTAATGTATTGTTATTATGATAATTTAAAAAATTGTAATCAAATGAGATGCATATATGCACATTTTCAAACATATTATTATTTAATCACTGTTACACTCTTAGAAGAAAAGGTTCTATCAGCGCTACGTATTTGGAACCCCTAAAAGGTTCTATACAGAATCCTTCAGGGTTCTTTGTAACCAGGAAAAAGGTTCTATATGGAACCTTTTGGGTTCATTCATTATCAATTGTTTTGTCCTTTTCATATTATTGACAAACATCAAGACCCTAAAATGTATTTATGAGTGCATGCGAATGATCACAAAATTCAAGATATGGGGGTTAGAATATGTACACTATATATTTACATAATTTTATGTAGTTAATCAATATCACACGAAGAGTGCCGTTTCAGTTTTTCTCCTCCAAAAATCAGCATGATTAATTAAGTTACTACAACAGTTTAATAAACAATAATTTAATTACAACTACAAAATGTTGCAGAATAATGTAATATATGAATGAATAATAGCCTATAAAGAAGGGTTCTTTCTTTCATTATAGAACCTTTAAGAACCCTATGCTTCATATATACAGTAGAACCCCAATGAATCCTTTTTTTTCTAAGAGTGTATGATTATTTCAAAAATAAACAGTTTTTCGATGCATTCCCAGCTAAAATCACTATTATGTAATCACACCATGATATACGATCATGCTGCCTACCGTTATTGATCATGGGGAAACATGTAGCCTGCATTTCAGTCCTATATTTGCAGGCTGTTGTTACAGTAACGCCAGCCTGTCAGTTTTGCTGCCTGCTGTTACACAACGCCACGGCCCTGTTTTAGTAAATGCCCCTGATGTGCCAGTGATGGGCCACCCATGTGATCAGTGCTGGGTGCTCAGTCCACTCGTGAGAAGCGTGACTACAACATTTGTCACCTTGGCTTCCGCAAGGCAATCTCCATAGCTACTGTTCCTTTAATTGACGTGCAGCGTTGACTCATCCTGTGGGGACTCTGCCATATACTGGCCTCCAAAAGGTCTTTTTCTGTTTGCTCCTGCACCTCAACCGATGCTTGCAAAGCCAAGGTCAAGAGATCCCAGAGAACAAACACACTTTAACAGTAGCCCTTGAATGGACTGCGTGATAAGTCATTCATTTAGCCTCAGCACCTGTGGAGCACAACAGATGGCAATCTAGGGAGCTCTTCAAACATGTTGAGGTCACGCTCTCACAAACTTATTTCAACTGGCTTATTGTAATTCAGGAAAGCTGCTGGTTGCCTATGGGCATTTGACAGAGCAGCATTACATAACTCTGAAAAAATGAAACTGAAGACATGGAGTTGCAGACATAATCTAACAGAGTTTGCAAAAGGGGTTTATCATGCATTTTGGCGATTCGTTGTGCAGTAGGTTCACTTTATTTACACATTCCCAACATTTTTGTTCACTGGATTTCACCAATATTCTGCCAAAATAAAAGCTTGAGGATTTGAAAGTTTGAAAGGGAAGAATTTAAGACATAAATATTAGTATTGTAACTTTCAGCGTAAAATTAAAGGAGCTGTATGCAAGATTGTGGCCAAAAACTGGTACTGCAATCACTTTCAAATTAGGGTTTATCCCCCCCTTCCCCCACGACTCGAGGATGCCAGATATGCTGCAGGAACGTACGCTGTTACAAGAAGCTTCCAATGGCAAGTGATGAGTCCTACACAGTGAGTTTTCTGTTAATTATTTATTTCAGACTTTATTTTGGATTCATATCGAGTTTTTGGGGGTTTCGCAACGTTAGAATTTTTATATCCGATTCCGACGCGTTTGTATCTGCAGCTGTGGTAACTAGAGTAGAGCTGGCAACCCGAATGCCGCAACAATACTGAGTCTGTGATTGGTAGATCGGTGGAGGGTAGGGTGACCACCCGTCCCGCGTAGCGCGTGCGCGCACAGCGTTTGAAGCCCAATTCATGCGTCCCGCAAATTGAGACCGTGTCACGCATAATCAATGCTTGCTCAAAAAAAAAAGTCGGTCACTCTATATCCTCGAGACCCAGGTATTTTCTGCCTGTCCTGATGAACGTGTGAACTCGTTCATTTTGGTGTCTGTGAACGCACGCTCTCTCATTTTAACTTCGTTCAATAGGGTGCCAGATTTCTATAGAGCCTTCCAGGCGAAAGCCCGGCTAAAACTCACCGTAAACAGGGCTTAATATGTAGCGAAAAAACACCCAATCTGGCAACACAAGCCACCAGTGTCGCACCGCGACCGCCGTCGACAAAGGCGTCGTATGATCATTTAAACGGATTTTATAACGAGGTCGGTGAAGATGGGAAAAATCTTACATTTCTGTGCAAACTTTGAACTGAACTAGTTCATTTTAAAATGTGTGAACTGAACTTTGAACTAGTTCATGTAGAAAGTGAACTTCCCCAAGACTGGTTGCCACTCCCACGTGACCTGCTGACTAGGTTGATGTCAACTTTTTCATTGTTGTCATGACAGCGCAGCTTCTCGTTCCGTGAACCTCTGGAGTAGTGAGTTAGACTTTTTCGACTTTTGTTAAAACTGTTCCTGTGGTGTTGAGCGACTATAATTCCTGTTAATCCTATAATTTTATATTTTTATTTATTTAAAGTGAATTAATTGTAATGAAAAATAAATAAAATTAAATAGCTAAAGTAAATCGTAAGTGGAATTGCATCTGTCAATTCATTGAATGTTCAAAATATTCATCTTTATTTAGAAAAAAAAATACACATTGGTTGGCCTATCATGAGCATATATCAGCAATTACACATGTTTAGGGAATAGGGCATTATTAATGTATGTGCTAAGGTATGTGTTTTTTTTTTTTTTTTTTTTGAACAATTATTCATGTACAAACAGTAAGGCAATAGTAACAATTCTAGATATGGGTAAACCACTATCAGAGTCTGCCTGTGGGGTGGGGGCACCGCCGCGCCAAGCAGTGTCCCACATTGTCCCTCAGAAACATACCCCTTGTCCCCCCTTGGGCTTATTAGCAGGTGGTCACCCTAGTGGAGGGTGGAGCATCAGGCCAAAACACAACTTGACAACATCAACATCAGTCGAGGGCTGCAACTTCACTTTTTAAATGACAATATCCTGGCCGGACTACTGTTGTCAGTGATATAAGTATTTGAAATGAACATGATTTCTTAATGTCTTGTGACATAGCAGGGAAAATTTATGATTAATTGAAATACATTTCTTGCATACAGCTCCTTTAAATAACTATTATAGTGATCAAATATTCATTCATTTATTTTACAGGACATTTGTTATTTACAACAGGAATATATTTTATACTCATTTTTAGAATTAGAGTTAAACAATCATATAATAATAATAATAATAATGATGGGAATATGTACAGCTAATATGTAAATCATTTTATATAATTCATATTATATATATTATGTTTACTTGCTTGCAATGTAAACATTAACCAACATCAGAGAACCATGAACACGCAAATGTGTCGTTAAATTATTGAAATATTAACGTATTATTTCAGGAGTTCAGCTGATTTTTTTTTTAACTCCTGGGCTAACAGAAAAGAGAATCAATGTTACGCACAAAAGAGAAGATAGAATAGAATAACTGATATTTAAGGAAAAGAAGAATATGAGAAATTAAATTTCACTGAATAAAAATTAATAATGTTGTTCCAACCCTATATTCTGTTGTTTATTCCATAGAACACAAAAGTATACTTTTGAATCTTATACAGGTCATGGAATGAAAGTGACCATGGTTTTCGATCTCAAAAAAGTACCGAATGTATCAAAAAGTAGTCAATTTTACTAGTACTTTAGGGGATTTTGCAGTAGAGGACAGTTTTTTCATAGTTTCTATAATTATTAGTGAAAGTACCCGCTTTTTGTCGTGTTCGCTCCGCAAGAACTGGGACTTATTTTAGTTATAGGAACACCTTTGGGAAACCAAATCAGTAGGGTGTACCCCAACACAATAACAACTACCAGTCACATAAGTGTACATTGATTGTTAGCTTGCACTCGATTGTAAGAAAGGGGTGGGGTTTATGCAGATTGGAGAATTCCTGCATACATCACTAGAGAGAAGTCTGTCATTTCAGCAGAAGATTAATTGACATTTTAGATAAAAAATGACAAGGTCAAAAACCAATGAATGGATCTATTGTTAATAATACATCTATAACATTAAGGAAATAGATGAATTTCCATTTCATGTGGGATTTAAATCGTTATTCCCTGATAATATTCACTTCACATCATTTTCAAAGTGTTCCTGTTTGCCTCTTGGAGAACAGCTAGTCACATCACATCTATTGCTTTTCAGCTTTGATTTCAGTTGTCAGATCTGAGAACAGAAAAGTGAAAACGGCCCAAAGAGTGCTGAGCTGTTTCAGCCCAAAACAGTTTTGCCAACAACAGTGTCTGTGTATTTATATCTCAGGTGGACGGCTGCTTACTGGACCCACTCCCTCCAGTCGTTGTCCGCAAAGTCAGCGGCTCGTTGCCTAGCAACGTCATGGAGACGTCCATTGATGAGGGCATTGAGGCAGAGGAGGAGCACACTGTGCCCCTAGCCGCCTTTCATACAGCTCGCTTCAGTCAGCGCCGGCACACACTGTCTGAGGTCACCAACCAACCTGCTGTGCCGCCTATCACAGGTTAGTTCTGCATTTTATACTGTATGTTGAGTCAAGGCAATTATAGTCTAGACGCATATTGAAATATAGTGTATTGAAATATAGTGAAGTTTGTGGTCTGTAAGAATTTTTTTTATGTTTTTATATTCTGCTCAACAAGACTATTTGATCAAAAAATACAGTAAAAACAGTAATATCGTGAAAATTTAAAATAACTACTTTAATATATTTTAAAATGTAATTGTACATGAGAACACAGAGCTGAATTTTCAGTATCATTACTCCAGTCGTAAGTGTCTCATGATCCTTCAGAAATCATTTAAATATGTTGATTTAGAGCTCAAGAAACATCTCTTATGATCTCTTTTTATGATTCAACGACAATTAGAAAGTTCAAAAGAACAGAATTTTCTATTTTGAAATACAATTTTTTTGTAACAATGAGTCTTTACTATCACTTTTGATTAATTTATATAATGTCCATGTCATTCTTTCTTCAGTCGAAAAGAAATTAAGGTTTTTGATGAAAACATTCCAGCATTTTTCTCCATATAATGCACTTTAATGAGAACCAAACGGTTCAAGGTCCAAAAGACAGTTTCAGTGCAAACTGCAAACTGTTCAAAGGGCTTTAAATGATTACAGACAATGAATAAGCGAAACGATCGCTCATTAAAAAAAAAGATAACAAAGTTTAAGTTTTATAAGCTCAAGTGATCGCCTTGCTCTGTTCTGTGATGTGTGTTCGTGACTCTCCTGTTCGAAACCGTTTATCAAAATGAACGAATCTTTTTTCGTGTCGTTTGGTTCATTCAATGAACGAAATGACTCTGGAAAAGATTCGAACAGGAGAGTCATGAACGCGCATCACAGAACAGAGCAAGGCGACCATTTGAGCTTATAAAACTTAAACCTTGTTTTTTTTTTGTTGTTTTTTATAAGTTCGTTTAAAGCCCTTTGAACAGTTTGTACTGAAACTGTCCTTTGTACCTTGAACGTTTGGTTACCAGTAAAGTCCATTATATGGAGAAAAATGCTGGAATGTTTTCATCAAAAACCTTAATTTCTTTTCGACTGAAGAAAGAAAGACATGGACATCTTGGATGACATGGGGGTGAGTAAATTATCAGCAAAAGTTTTATTTAAAGCAAACTACTCCTTTAAGATAAATAATCTAAAGTTAGAGAAAATGAAATGAAAGCTTAATTTAAATCTTAAAACGAAAAGGATAAAGTATGCTAAACTAAAAATGCAGTCTAGTCAGTAAGGTGAAGTGCATATTCAGAGAATTCACAGGTAAACAGATGTGTTTATGTTTATGTCTGGACTTCAGTGTGGTCAGTGAGGCTTGGATTATTGTTTTTACATTGTAATGTAAACCATGCATTATGTTGCAGTTCTTAAAGTGCATGGTAACGTGGAAAGGTTTATACTCTCCAAAGTCAGCTTTAACTCGCATTTGAGTCTTGTCTCCCTGAATACATCCATATCCTTGAGTGAACTTCAGTTACTCTCCACAGGTCTGAACCCGTCCCTCGGCAGCATGGACTCAGAGTACAGCATGGGTTCAACACAAAGTGACTTCAGCTTGCCTGAAGAGAATCCAGCTCAAAGCACTACACCTGCCAGCTCTACAGTTCCAGTCTTCCTCAGCATGAAGCCTCCTGAACCCCTGCAGCCGCTCAACACAGAGGGGCGGGACGCTCATAATCACTCACTAGTCAGTTTCAGAGAGGGGCGAAGGGCTTCAGACACCTCACTCACTCAAGGTTGGGATGATTTGTGTTCTCTTGTGCACATCATTTTTCATTTCGCTTTTTCATCCATCACCTTTCTCTCAAGAAATAGACACACGACATTTACTGTATGCTTGCGACATTACTTTGGATTATATGGGCAACTGGATATGAACTTAACAGTATACTATCCCTTTATTAATTAAATAAAGGGCCAACTTAGTGTACTTAAAGGGATAGTTCACCCAACAATTAAAATTAGCCCATGATTTTCTCACCCTCAAGTCATCCTAGGTGTATATGAAATTCTTCTTTCAGACGAATACAATTGGAGTTATATTAAAAATGTCTTGACTATTCCAAGCTTTATAATTGCAGTGAATGGCCGTTTCTGGTTTGAAGTCCATAAAAGTGCATTTATCCATCATAAAAGTGCATCTATCCATCAAAAAGTGCTCCACACATCTCCGGGGGGTTAATAAACGCCTTCTAAAGTGAAGCGATGTGTTTGTGTAAGAAAAATATCCATATTTAAAAAATTTAAATTAGGGCTGTCAGTTAAACGCGAAATTAACGGCGTTAACGCAAACCCATTTTAATGGCGTCAATTTTTTTAAAACTTTGTAGTTTTCTTTCACATGCTTTTGCAACAGGACACGGCATGTGCGCACTGCTCTATGAAACCCATTCATTTCAATGGCTTGCACCGCGCGAGGACGTTTTGTTGCTTCGCCGACCAAAGCGCAAGCAGATCTAGCTAGACCGTAAACAAAACAACAGGCACTCAAACACTCGTTTGAGCTTGCGAGCTGGCCAAATAGTTGGTTAACTTTACGTTTTGAGTGGATGATTCTGAATGGAAAGTTTACTTTTAAAAATTTGCCAAATGGTTCAATTGACAAGACCAAAGTGATCTGTGTGTTTTGTCGTTTTGAACTGAGCTATCATCATCGCAGCACGTCCAGTCTGAAACACTGCTTGATGATGGCCAAGCGCACACACACAGCTGATGCGAATTCTCCGGCCCCTCGTCAACATCAGGACCTTGTCAGTATTTCTTTCACCCTTTTATTGATGGACAGTGTTACATTGTGTGAGAGATTATTTGCCCCAAGTGAGAATTTTAGTGTGAATTTGAACATAGTATATGCCAATGTTGTTTTCAATAAAAAACATTTGCACAAAGCAAACCGATCCACTTTTCCATGTTGATAAGAGCATTCAAATGAGAAAAAATAATGGGACAAAAAGAAATCAAGAGACATTTAGAATAGATAAAAATGTCTGATTAAAGGATTAGTTCACTTTTAGAAAAACTTTTGCTGATAATTTACTCACCCCCATGTCATCCAAGATGTCCATGTCTTTCTTTACCTCAGTCGAAAAGAAATTGAGGTTTTTGATGAAAACATTCCAGGATTTTTCTCCATATAATGGACTTCAATGGGAACCGGATGGTTCAAGGTCCAAAAGACAGTTAATAACTGTTTCAGATGCAGCTTCAAATGTCTTTAAACGATATCACACGATGAATAAGGGTCTTATCATGCGAAACGATCGGTTATTTCAAAACTTATTCCAAAAATGTAACTTTTCTAAGGACAAATGCTAGCCTTGCTCTATTCTGTGAGGCGCGCTTGCAACGTCACGTATTATGTAATTACGTTCAAAAGGTCACGGGCGACGTAGCCGGAAGTACAGAGTCAGTGTTTACAAGTTGAACGCATAGGTTGAACGTGCAAACTAACTCAAACACCGTTTACAAAAAAAGGAATTAAAAGGAAAAACAACGATGTCGGACGATTTTGATTCTGTACTTCCGGCTACGTCGCCCGTGACCTTTTGAACGTAATTACGTATTACGTGACGTTACAAACGCACCTCAGAGAATAGAGCAAGGCTAGCATTTGTCCTTAGAAAAGTTACATTTTTGGAATAAGTTTTGAAATAACCGATCGTTTCGCATGATAAGACCCTTATTCATCGCCTGGTGTCGTTTAAAGACATTTGAAGCTGCATCTGAAACAGTTATTAACTGTCTTTTGGACCTTGAACCATCCGGTTCCCATTGAAGTCCATTATATGGAGAAAAATCCTGGAGTGTTTTCATCAAAAACCTAAATTTCTTTTCGACTGAGGAAAGAAAGACATGGACATCTTGGATGACATGGGGGTGAGTAAATTATCAGCAAAAGTTTTTTCAAAAGTGAACTAATCCTTTAATTGCGATTAATCGTGAGTTAGCTATGACATTGATGCGATTTAAATATTTTTATACAGCACTAATTTAAATATAATATCTAGTTATTTTACTTTATAATTCTTTTTAAATATGGATATTTTTCTTACATAAACGCAACACTTCGCTTCAGAAAGCCTTTATTAACCCCCCAGAGATGTATGGAGCACTTTTATGATGGATAGATGCACGTTTATGAACTTATGGACCAGCCAAGACGATTGTATTCGTCTGAGAGAACAATGTCATATAAAACTAAGGATGACTTGTGAGAGTGAGTAAATCTTGGGCTAATTTTCACTTTTGGGTGAACTATCAAGAGTATATAGATTGGAGTTCAAGAGGTTAAGGCAAGAGGTTATTCTGTTATATGTAGATCGTTTATTGGTTAAATGTCTTTTCACTATAGAAATGCTCAGGTCAGAATGAACCAAACTTAATAGATTGCTGCTACTGCATCCGTTCTTCTATGTGTGTGATTAAAACACAAAATCTAGCAAGCCCACAGCTTTACTGTCTGCAGGCATGTATTTGCACGTCATAATCAGTGTTTTGGAATATTTATTGTAAGTGGATAAAATAACCCTCATTCTGACTGATATCTGACCTTCTATGAATAATGGCTACTTTTAAAAGCAGAATATAATCACAGTGATTCACTTCTTTACTAATTATAGTAGTCAATGAGTCAAACCACCCCTGCAGCAGTCACAGGAATATCTCTACCAGTTCATCTGACTCGAAATCTGATGTATTTATTGAACTTTGGTTCAACAGGTTTAGTGGCATTCAGACAGCACCTTCAGAACCTGGCCAGGACCAAGGGCTTCCTGGAGCTGAACAAAGCCCAGATAGTGTTAGGAGATGGTGGACTCCCCACCGTCAGTCCACAGGACTATCCATTCAGTCACCAGGTCAGATAGCAATTTGTGCTGGTCTCAGTTTGTTTTCTACTTTTACATTTTTAAAGGAGTAGTTCACTTTTTAAAAAAAACTTTTGCTGATAATATACTCACCCCCATGTCATCCAAGATATCCATGTCATTCTTTCTTTAGTCGAAAAGAAATTAAGGTTTTTGATGATTCGCTCATTTAAAAGAAAAAATAACAAAGTTTAAGTTTTATAAGCTCAAATGGTCGCCTTGCTCTGTTAGGGTGTGATGTGCGTTCATGACTCTCTTATTCAAACTCGTTCATTTCATTCATTGATTGAACCAAATGACACGAAAAAAGATTTGTTCATTTTGAGTCACGAACGTGCATCACAGAACAGAGCAAGGCAACCATTTGAGCTTATAAAACTTAAACTTTTTTTTTTTTTTTAAATGAGCGATAGTTTCGCTTGATAAGACCCTTATTCATCTGAAATCATTTAAAGCCCTTTGAACAGTTTGCAGTTTGCACTGAAACTGTCTTTTGGACCTTGAACCGTTTGGTTCCCATTCAAAAATTCTGGAATGTTTTCATCAAAAAGCTTAATTTCTTTTCAACTGAAGAAAGAATGGCATGGACATCTTGGATGACATGGGGGTGAGTAAATTATCAGCAAAAGCTTATTTTTTAAAGTGAACTACTCCTTTAAGCAAAAGTATTGTACCTTTGAACTTGAAATAAAACAGGTGGCAGAATATAGAAAAGAGTCTTTATGGTATTTATGCTGATATGAAAACTTATTCTTTAATAATTTCAGGGAGAAGGACGCCAATGTCTAAGTGGAAAAGATACGTTGACATTCACGGGTAAAATGCACCCTTATTTGCTATCCAGGAGACAGAGTTTGGAGACGCAGTACCTCGCTCAGCGACTACAGGTGGGTCAATTGTGTCCACAATAAACAAAAGAAAAAAAAATTGGTTCAAATCACACAAGCCAAGCTTTTAGAAATCTAATCTTTGTGTTGATGTTGATTTCTTAAAGGTTTGAAAAACTTTCAAATCATTTTCAAGAAAAGTTTATATTTAATTATTCTAAAAATGTCATGTGGTGTAACCATCAAGTAAAATATAATAGGATATTTTCCATACACAATGCATTTATGTGAACATTCATATCTAAATCATATAAATAAGTATATTTTTTCAAACTTAAGAGCATGTTTAATTATTTATTAAGTTTGTGGGGAGTTGCACCAGTTTTTCGCAACCGATTTGACACATATCTCCAAACTCAGGTCATTTTTCTCAAAACAGCTAATTGTAAATTGTTGTAATTTTGCAGCAGGTTGTAAATTGTCCTTCATTTCATGCAAATTACAAATTTCTTTTAAAACTGCATCAAATTCTCGTATGTTTTCACAGTAGTTCATACAGCCAACCAAAACATTAATATATCAGGAAAACTGAAATTGCAGCTCTTTTTACTGGTTTTACAAAAACCACAATCATTTGTGCACCATTTTTCCAAACACAACTCTGTTATTTGTTAAATTCTCAGGTGCACTTGGAATGTTCTCAATTAGCCCCAAATAAATATCTTCTGAGTTAGAAATACACACAACACAGTAAATGCTAGTTCCCTAATTGTTTACCCAGCTATCTCAAATGCAAAAACTATAAAAGGGGAAAAGAACAAAAGAATGGGAAAAGGAAGAGGTGTAAGTGTGAGAGGTTTTAGAGAGCAGAGGAACATTGAAAGAGGTAGAAAGAGAAGGGGAAAGGAATAGATGGTATAAGAAGAGGAGATGGAGCAAGAAGAGTTGAGTTTATTTATTTTTATAACGCATTGCTATACAACTAAACTCTTCATTATAGAAATATCAAGAACAAAATGAAAGGACATGAAAAACATGTATTTTCATTTCTGTTCTTGTGTATATATAGCTGAATTTGTTATCAAATCAACACTTGTAGTTTTGATGTTAGTATGTATTTTTACTTAAATAAAATGCAGTGCTTCATTATGCAGTGAATATTGAAGAGTTTTGCCAACATAAGAGTGTGGTTAGTTTGCTGTTTTAATTGATTGAGAGCAACCACACTAATTTGGATAAATGTGTCAAATCGATTGAGAAAAACTGTAATACCTGAACTAACCTTGCCTAAATCACAAAAATCTCAAATGATCTGCTTCGTTTTATCCCTGGATTCTGCATGTTGGTTAGACCACATGACTGGCCATGCATGCAAACATCAAATATAAGTTTTTTCGGAGAAATTATAATATAAGATAAGATTACTTGGTTTTCTTTTCAAGAATTTCATTCTTTTGAGGTTTTTTTCATTTTATTCAGTTTTTTTTATTATGAATTTTAATTCCGAAATTAAAATGCTCATTAAAGAAGAGGTGTATTCAAGTCGTATGCATGAATAACTTTTTTTATGTATTATTGAATAAACTAATAGATACAGAAAAATATCACATTGTGTAAATGTACAAAAATAGTATTTCTGCTAACATAGTGGAATGTGGAAATATGTTGCTGGATTGTTGGTTGGCATGTAAACTGTTAAAACTTGTTATTTATCTAAACTTGATTTTTGGTACACTGTAAAAAAAAAAAGTAAAATTTACGGTAAAAAAAAACGGCAACTGTGGTTGCCAGAAATTTACCGTAAAAAATGCGGTAGCAAGATTTTATTTTGTGCAAGTTTAACTTAAATTTACAGGGGGGAGAAGGTATTTCAGTAACTGATATAATGTTAATTTACCAACCTACTGAAGTACTAATATCTGTTTTGTACCTTTGTAATATACTGACAACCACCCAACAGGTGGTGATGAAAAAGTCACATGATGAATCAAAGCTCACCACAAGCAGCTTTTCCACAAGCTGAGAAGGTAAATACTAATATATATATAGAAGGCGCACAGTGTCATTCACACAAATACTAAACACCATCATGGTAACACGCATGACATAAAAATAAAAATGTAATAAACATTAATTGAACAGCATTAAATGCAACATAAAACCCTAATGTACATTATTAATTAGAAATAAACGAAGAAAACTAAGAAGAAATCATCATTTCAACAAAGATGCATCAAATGTGAAGTGTCACACAGGGAATTCTGGGAATTTCAATTTACAGTTTTTCACTGTAAATAATACAACGACTTGCACTTTTTCACTTTCAAAAACTGTAAATTTAAGTGTTTTACTGTAAAATTACATTAAATGTGAGGTTTTGATCTATTACGGTTATGCAACGTAGTATATAGTACGGGAACGTTCTATCAACCAATTAATCGTATTTTACTGAAACACAGACATGCTGCTGTGAGCATGTAAAATATGCTGCTGCTGCATTAATAGACATAGATAAATCCCATAGCAGGACAGACAGGTGGAGCTGGGGGAGGTGGAGGGTTTCAGAGGACCAAATTACAGAAAACACTGAACCGGGTCATGAACTGCTTTGCTTTATTGTTTTATAATGTTTCCTGGGGTGCACTTTAATGTTAATTTGACTTTTACAAATTAAAATTGTCATAGTTTAGAAATGTATGGCATTTTTCCTACCCTGATTTTATCCTTCTGGCTAACAGCTTTGATTGGCTAACATCTTTGCATATGAAATAGGGCTGGGCGCTAAAATGATGACGTTAATTATCGCGATATAATTTTTTTCGATAAAACGATATCAAGAGGTCGATAAATGGTCGATAATGTTTATGCGGCAAAAGCGGAACGAAACTCATTTGAACCGCGCGCGACACAAGGAGCATTTATCCGGTCGGCTCAAAGTCCAAACGGCAGCGCAGCACGAGCTCACGCAGACTCGCACTCTGATCGTCTCGCTCAAGAGATCCAGTGAGAAACGCTTGAGTTCAGCGAAGAACACAAATGTCAAGTTTAAACCAGTTTAAAGGCAGATGAAACAGCTGACAAAATGGAGAAACATTGCGTGCAGTCACGATACAGTCAGAATCTGAATTGATACTGAATCCATTTAGCCTACCATGGATTTACTGTAAGGTTAGCCTAGTAATATTAACTGCACCATGAAATGTGGGATATACATATTGAATTGTATAATATTATTAATGTAGACAATGTATTAAATGACTAATAGAATATAAGTACAGTATTTAATAATGTATTTAACTGTTCGGCTACTGTTTTTCATACAAATACCACAGAAACCATAAAGTTGCCATGATAGTGAGGTGCTAAGTTATAGGTTATACCTGGTTTTATCTGTGGTTATCATGATCTAAATACATGATACTGGATGACAAATGGTTAATTTTAATACAACTCAAACAGTCAGAATATTACTTTTTACCAAATAAAAATGTGGTCATTACATTAAAAAAACTCTGGTTTATACAACTTTCACTAAGGAGCAAAAATCTGTCTTTAAACTTAAAAGAAATAAAGATTTGACAGATATCGTGATAATTATCGATATCGACTGATATCGATTTACCATGATTTTTTTTTTTTTTTTTTTTGGCCATATCGCCCGGCCCTAATATGAAATAAGTATTACATGTTAGCCTGGTTAAAACCAGACTATTGTCAGTTGTGACTGAGTTATGGTCTGGCAAAGCGTCATAGACAAATCATTTCCGGAGGGGCGTCACCAACAGACGTCGCGGATAGACCTAAACCAATCAGAGCGATGAAGGAGATGACGTATGCAGAGCGGCGACCAGCGGCGAAACATCTCCAAGTTTTGTTTTTTGCTCAGTTTTTAAACAAAAAGGAAACATTCAAATCGCTTAAAACAGAGGCTGATTCGAACAAGTGATGTTCGACGGCGGCATCCATCTTTGTAATGTAGCCAGGGAAAATATGCTTCAAAATCCCAGCGCTGTCGTCATCGCGTAAATCTCGCCCCAACGTTTCTGATTGGTGCCGCGATTTCGACGAATTGGAAATGGGCTTGAATGAGCTCTTTGCCAGACTAACTTTCAGAGCAAATCTAAATTTGCCGGAAGTTGTCTGGGTTTTCCCAGGCTAATTACATGTGGAACTCTCTTAAACACTTTTACCACATTTTTACTATTACTGCTGTCAATGTTAACTAATTGTGACGTGTTGATTATAGCATTATATTTAGATTGTGGCATAAAAGGTTGCAGCCAATCAGACATGTTGAGAGATCTCGTCACTGTAACTCGATTTCTGCACGAGGGGGATCTGATTTGTGCCCCCACAGTTTCAAATTGTCCCCCCTCCACCCCTGAAATGGGATTTACGTTAACCCTTTGACGCCAATGATCCCACCGGTGTGATTCGAACGTTCAGTGCATCACTGCTAAATTCAACCGTGTTTTTCTCTTTGGCTTGTGCTATTCAATGTTTTCAACCACATAACGTTTATGTTAGAATTTAGATATTTGAATGAAGTAAAAAAAACAAAACAACATTTATTGTTTGTTAAATTCAAGTTTCATAAACTGATGTCTATGGAAGCTGCAATAATAAATATTTCAATTATAATTTGACAAAGTGCTATATTAATACAAGATACACATTGTGTATGTAAGCAATAAGGTACGAGAGGCTGCGCTGTATCGTGAATAAGTAACGGCTGAAGGGCGTTGTTGGCAACCTGCGACCCCTTCAGCCGTTACTTATTCACGATACAGCACTTGCCTCGAGTACCTTATTGCTTTTATAAAACGGTTGCCACACAATATTAAAGTAAAAAACAATGTTTTAGTGCAACTTTCTTGAAGTAAAATCACGAAAAGCCTTCCTTCCGCTAGAAAAAATAGTCCCTGAGCGTGAACAGCAACAACGTTCCAATGTGTAAAATGCATGAAAGCTCAAATAAAAACAACATAGAACCGCAGTGTTGCGCAACGATCAATAGAACCGTTGGGTGAAGCGGTCATAGCCATGTTTTATCGTGAATAAAGCACAGCTCTTGACCAATCAGAATCAATGATTCGAACTAACCATTTTATAAGAAACAATAAAGTTTACTCTATTCTACTCCCAGTTCACCGGCCACTTACTTTTGTGTATTTCGGGAAAAATGGATGAATTTACCTAATGTAAAGCCGACAGATCCTCTGTAATTCGATGCAAACGCATTGCGCGTTATAGACCATTTCACAAGATGTAAACAAGACTGGTCCAGAAGCACTTCCTGTTTCAGTTTGTAACTGTTTTCTTTATTTCACATGTAAAGAAAACATCTTAAAGATGTTTGTTTAACTTTTTGATTCAGTTTTAAATGTTCTGTTGGTTGTATTTTATCCCAGCTTTTTTGTAGTGTTAAAAAACTGGGTCCCACTTTATATTAAGTGGCTTTAAGTACTATGTACTTACATCGAAAAATAAGTACAATGTACTTATTTTGTTCAGATTGTATTGTAAAACACTTTTGTTGCTATTGAGGTGTGATACGGGTAAGGTTAGGGTTAGGTGTGGTTGTATAGGTCAACTGTGTAATTACAAATGTAATTACATTTATTAATTACAGCTGTAATTACATGCAGGTATTTTCAAAATATAAGTACAATGTAAAAACATGTATGTACACAATAAGTCCATTGTATCAAAGTATTAATTTCAATGTAAGTACATAGTACTTAAAGCCACTTAATATAAAGTGGGACCAAAAACGGAAACAGGAAGTGCTTCTGGACCAGTGTTGTTTACATCTTGTGAAATGGTCTATATCCACGAACATGTTCATTATAAACGAGACAACACATTCACTTCCACATATTTGATAATGGGAATATATCATAACGTAGTGAACACGTTTGTGAATATTTTGAATAAAAAAAGAAAAGAAACGCGATACATGCGTCACGTGTGGCTGCATGGCACGTTGCCAAGGAAGTAATACGTTCTAAAATAATTGTCGACTTAAAAAAAAAAGACTCCCTAGAATAGATTTCCCCCATATATAACTGATTATTTTCATCCTACTAAGAGAAACAATGTGAAGTTGACCGTTTAGTCACTGGTTTGATTTACTGACACATAGACAAAGAACATCTGACTGTAGCTACATGAATCATTACATAGCAGAAATAACTCGTCACAGTTTGGCTACAAAAAAAGCTTTTTTTGGACTAACAAGGACGTTTTCAGCTCTGAAACCTACTGGATATTTGTATAGTATGATGACCTCTTATATGCCTAAAGCTCAAAGAAATTTAGATTTCTCAGTCCATGACTCCTTTAAGTGTTGAGCAAGCAATCTCACTGGCTGCAGAATCAGCAGAGGCCAATTCGCTTGTGCCATGTAGTAAATCATGTGATTGCATGTAAAGAACCCATCAGCCTGTACCATCTAGAGTTTCATGAATGAAAAAGATATTTAAAAAGATTTTTATTATGGCTTGTTTTGTTCTTTGTTATTTCAGAGGGCCAGTCAGTTGGCAAGTGGTCTTGGAAGTGGGCAGATGTTTTGTAAAGAGGCTTCACCACGCACTTTAGAGCAACAACTCCAAGAGCACAGGTGAGGAACAACTGCATCCATAATGTCCAGAAATTGTCCAGACAGTAACATATAGGGCCCTATTTTAACGATCTGAAACGCAAATGTCAAAGCGCAAAGCGCAAGTAACTTTGTGGGCGTGTCCCGGCGCTGTTGCTATTTTCCCGGCGGGATAAATGCCTCTTGCACCTGGCGCGAATCTAAAAGGGGTTGGTCTGAAGTAGCTTCATTATTCATAGGTGTGGTTTGGGCGTAACGTGAAATAAACCAATCAGAGCGCCATCCAACGTACCCTTTAAGAGCAGGTGCGCATGTTGCATGACGGGTTGTTATTATAACGGCGGGTTTACCAGGCGCGCGCCAGGAGCGTTCACAGCCGATGAGACCGACGATCTCGTCAGGGCAGTTAAAAGACAGAGAAGTGACGTTGTATGGGGATGGGAGAAACCCTCGCACATTAGCGTCGGTTAAACATTATATACGAATGTTTCTTGCCACTATTGGGCAAACAGGTCTGATCCTTCAGTACTACAATTAGCCTTAAAAAATGGGTAATTAGGTTTTTTCATCTTCATGTAAACCACAATGATTTCCCTCACGTGTTAATATTTTTACTTGTTATAATGTATGATTAGCAACAATAAAAACTGCTGCATCTGTGTTGATGAGAGAATCAAAGTGTACGTGCGTTATGCACCCGCTACATTATGGCCAAGCATGCGCGCTTAAAATAGCATTATGAACAACGCGCAATTGTTTTCTGGAACTGTAAAAAAAGCACCAGGGAATGTTTGTGCCGAAACACGCCTCCTTTTTGCGCCGATCCGCCCAGGGAGCGCAAGTTCGTTTCCTAGTTTACCGACGTGCGTCTTTTGAGGGAAAAATCTAGCTTTGCGCACGTGCAAAATAGGAATGACACATGCGTTTGTGTATAAAGTCATTTGCGCCGGGTGCAAGATAGAGCCCATAGTGTTGGCCCAGGTACACGTACCAGATGTGGGCCGGATTTGGGCGACACTATAACTTCCAAGTATGACACCTTTTCAATTGTAATCCTATGTGCAGACTGCAGCAGAAGAGGCTCTATCTCCAGAAGCAGTCTCAGGTACAGGCCTACTTCCACCAGATGCAGCTGGCAGAGGATGGTTACCCCCCTCCCCAGGACTGCAGAGACCCCCAGAACAGTCCCCTGTCCAGCCCTCCCTTCACATGGACCCAAACGTCCCTGGCGTACGGCCCCAAGTCAACCCGCTTTCCAGACTGGCCTCCGCCACCAAACAATCAAACAAACTACACTCCGTCCCTCCCTTCAGAGCCCCTGTACGCATGGATTCCTGGCCAGCCGCCTCTCCCCACGGGCAAAGCAGAGAGCCCCCCGGCACAACACACACCTGGAGCTTCTTTCCTGGACTGCGAGATGGTGGAGACCGTAGAGGCCCCACAGGGGTGTGTACTCGTAAACTAAATGTGAAATAAAGCACTCTGAGGCTGGCTCTCAGACACAAGTGTGGTGAAAAAAGCTCCCTCAGGGACGAACAAAACGCCATGGTTTGGGTCACATCTTACAGATGTGTACTTGATGCTTTGGCAGACCCTTACAGACCTTCATTTTCAAAGATGGTTGCGAGATCCGCTAGTGTCCCGATACGTTTTTTTCTTTTTCTTTCGGTAAGCACATATGAAATGTAGTGCAGGTACCATAGAGTTTAAAAAATCAGTATTAAAGCAATATTCCTTTTCCTATATAATAGAGTTCTATGAGTTTCAGTGTTTTTATAAGTAGTTTGTTTAATACTTAAATGATTAGTAGCTACTCAAGTTTTCATTATTAGTAGTGTGTGATTTTTAAATAATAGATCATTAACAAGGAAATGTGTAAATATAAGGACGATAAAAAAAGAACTATTAGAAATAAAGTCAGCAGGAAACAATTTCTTAGTAAAATGATGAACTTTTTACCCAGACAGCAACATAGTGTCGGCCCACATCTGGTACACGTAGAATCCACACGGCCACATGTTGTTGTCTGGGTAGTAAAACAGGTATTAATGGAGAACAAAATATAGAGCAAGACCTAAGTACTACTAAGATGCTATTCTATGGAAGGAGGCTTGTTTCCACCCAAATATATATATAAAGAATTTTTTTTTTAGATAATTGTGACTTTTTATTTCACAATTGCAAGTTTACATCTTTTCTTGTGAGAAATAACAGCATAATTAGATATAACCATAAGCTCACAATCAATTTTGACTTCTTTTCCCAGTTATAATAATGAGTTATAAAGTTTTTCTCTGATTCACAAAATTTGGACTTCAGAGGAAAAAATACTGACTTTTCTCTCGGAATTGCAAGTTTATATCTCCTAGTTGGGGAGATATTGTATATTTTTAAACCATAGATGCAGAAAAAAACAATAAAATGGTTGAAATTTGTATAGGATTTGGCGGCTATTACGTGGAAATCTTCTACATGGAATCCCTCAATCTCTTCCTAAAATTCACTGCCTGGACTCAGTCCCACCATAGTTCCAGCCCTGCGTCTAACGCATGTTTACAAAGTAAAACATTGGAGAAGTTGAGTAGTGGAACGCAAAAACGCTTTCTGTTTAAATGGCCTTGAACACTTTACAATTTGATTTAAGATCCAATTTGTAAACATTTGATAATTACATATAAATGAACAAACTATAATTTTCAGCATTTATTAATCTAGGTTAATGTTAATTTAGACATAAAGCAGTTGAAAGTGTATTATTTATATTCACAAACATGAATTAACAATACAAATTACCTTTAACCAAGATTAATAAATGCTGCAAAATATTGTTTTTCGCTTATTTCATGATACCCAAAGCAGTAAATAATGGTAAGATATTCAAACTTATTGTAAGTATTACATTGCCTAAACAACTGTTTGACGGCTGGTTAACATTAACCAATAAGCATGCATGACCTAGGTGATGTCAGCAGACAAAAGTGCTGAGCAATGATATAATATTAAATCATCTGTGGAATAATATGCACCGATGGTTGCGCACAGTAAAACCAAACAACATGTTAAAGAAAATAAGGTTAATTTTGGTTTCATGTTGACTTTACAATTACACTACCTACTTTGGACTCTTCGAAGTGGACTGGAAAAGTAGAAAAGAACAAGGTTAAAGTTGAGATACATGGATTTAACCAATCAGAATCAACATACAATGATCTCACACAGCGTGCACTACTACTCAAAACTGTTTGTTTTTTTACTTAAGTGTTGTGCCTTTCGATTCTTATTGTTCCTTTCGAAGAATGTCTTGTTATTAGATTTAATTCTTCAAGTAAAACTTCCTGTTTGGAAATGCAGTACGAAGTACTCTCTTTTAAAAGATACCTTGAACCAAAGTCTCCATTTAGGTTCTTTTTTAAAGTCCACTATGTGGATTTGTTTTTTGGAACCAGCTACATGAGATAGTTGTCATGGTCCTACAATATATTCAAAAGTATAGCAATATCTAGAGAAATAATTCTGATGTTCAAAATATGGGTGTTGGTAGTGAGTGTTGTCATTTTATGCCTTTGGAGGAAAAAGATCTTATCGTGACTATTTAAAATTTGTAGTCAGTCTTTGACTAGTGTTGATATTATTACTGACATTGAAGAGTGAAATGTTTTGTTATAGTCGGTTTTCAGTGATAAGATGTTTCCTAATAAGTAATCACAATAGGAATTGTGTTATATTCAGTTGAAAATGCTGAGTTTCTTGCACAAGGGGAAATAAAGGTCGCACTCTCCTTGACTGAAATCATTTGTGCGAGTGATGTTTTTTGTTCATATCACATGTCTCACATCACATTACCTCAGTTCTGACCATGTAGAGAATGATGGACTTGCAGTGGTTTAAAGACTCCATTTCATTCGCGATCAAACGAGATAACCCTTTGTTGCCCTCGTGCATTGATGTGCCTTGGGCGCCCACCACCCTGTCACTTGTTTGTGGTTTGTCCCTCCTCAATAAATTCTCACCACTGCTGACTGGGAACAGTCCACAAGCCTTGCATTTACAGAGAGACTGACCTAGTCACCTTGCCATAGCAATTTGGCCCTTGTCGAAGTCGCTCAGACCTTTATTCCTGCTCATTTCTCCAGCATCCAACACGAAGATAATGAGAACTGATCGTTTGATTATTACCATCTAATCTACCCAGGCCATAACCTGTGGCTATGATAAATATTCGCTTCACCTGTGACTGGTCATAATGTTTTGGCTCATCATTATGAATAGATTTACATTGCAATTAAAATTGCATAATGTTATGAGATCATTTTTTGTTTAATATAGAATTACAAAATTATGGAAAAATGTATGTTTACACGACAACGATGTGCTTAAAATAGAGACTTTTTCCTTTGAGTTTTACGCGTACAGACGACAACGCCAACGCCAAAACGATCCCCATTAACACGGATCTGAAAAAAAATTAGAAATTAGAAACTAAAAATTAGACGGAGATGAAACACTATAGATTGAACACGTAATAAGTGCGAGGCAGTGTTAATTTCGTTGACGAAAATAATGACGAAAATTATTCGTCAACAACATTATTTCACAGACGAAAACGAGACGATAACTAAATAAAACCTAGTTTTGAATGACAAAAACCATGACGAAAATCTATTGACATTTTCGTCAACGAATAAAAACTAGACGAAAATGTTAGATAGTGACGATCTGGGGAGCGAACCAGTCAGAACTGATGTCCTGCGTTTGTGGTAGATGCACACATTGGATCCGCATGTCATTGAACATGATCTGATGTCTTAAAGTGACAGTGGGTAATAAACCTAATGCGGTCTGTGTCCTTAATATTCAAGCAACAAAAGAAAAAGAGAAAAGCATTCACTGTTAATAGCTTAAATAAGGATTCATTGTATTTAATTCATACAAATAAATATCTGTTTGAAAGAATAAAGAATGATGTATGCATGTAGTCTTAAAGAATACATTTATCATTCATTGAAAAGAAGACTGTGATTTAGTTTAGGAAAAGTGGTTTTATTTAATTTTAATTCACAGTAGTTAAAACGTATCTGCATTGAATGTTCAAACTTAAAAATCATTCATATTAATAGGTTAATAGATGTTTTATCCAGGGGTATGGGTTTGGACATTTTAGAGAAATTCTAAATGAATGCATTACAATTTAACTAAACCCATTATATTTTAGTCGAGTAAATCTACTTTAGATTTAGTCGACTCAAATCTTCATGAATTTCGTCGACTAAAACAATTCAGATGACTAAAATATGACTAAAACTAAATGGCATTTTAGTCAAAAGATTATGACTAAAACTAAATCAAAATTAACACTGGTGCGAGGTAATGTGTATGACGTCATCGTCTTCAGAGATTCGCGTTTTTGTTGTTTACACGGAGACCGTTTTCAAAAACATGCACTTTGGCTATGTTTACACGGAAACGATCTGAAGAGAAAAAGCAAAAGAGGCGTTGCGTTATCACTTTATATTCTGCGTTTAGACGAGCATTTTGGGTGGGAAATCAGCGTGCATATGGTGACGCAAAAGTGTGTGAAATTCAATGTAGTATGCACTCCAGGCGCCTAGATGGCAATGTGGAGCACTGCCACACAACAACACTAGGGCCGCGCGCCTGCGTACAACCTTCGATGTCAAGCAGACTTTTGCGTTTTTACCGTTTTTACCCTTTACACGGGAACATGGCGGTGGAGCGTTTTTGAGATTCCCACTCTGGTGGATGGTTTCACTATTTTGCGTTTTTAAGCCCCCAAAACGTCGACACCGTGTAAACGAAAGGCACCACCGATAAAATATTTTTACGTTTTCACTCGCGAGCGTTTAAAACCCATTTTCAAAACGTTGTGTTTTCAGGCATCCAACACCGTTGTCGTGTAAAAAAACGGCCAAAAAGCATAAAAAGTTTTACGTTTTTAGTTGAAAACGGTGTCATGTAAACAGCCCCTTGACGAATGAGTCGTTAAATTATTCGATTTGCTCAAAAGGACTGATTCATTCAGCAACGAAGCAAGAATGGGTAATTTAATAATTTTCTCAAACAAGCAAATTTGAGGAATCGAAACACCACTCTGTCGGTGTCAGTCGCTGTCTGTAAATTCCTTCAGAAAAAAATGTGTGGAGAATAACTAATGTGTTTTGTCAGCACAGTAAACAAAAGTCTAATTGTAGGTTTCAGCGAAACTTAAGTTTTTCTTAAATTAGCCATATGATGCAGGCAATTTGTCACTGGTCTAGATCCTAATGCAAATTGGAGAAACATAAATATGTTAACCTAAGAACAGCCATCATGTGTGAAATATAACTTTATAGATAGCTATTGAATGAACAGGAGTGTTGCATAAAGCTGGATCATTTCCCCTGATGATTAATCTGTGCAGAATGGCACTAACACGCAGATGTGCGTCGTGATGTTCCAGCTGTAAACTGTTCATCAGCAGGCACGACAACAGCATTCATAATTCAGAAAGATAACAGCCTTGTCAGAACACTCACTCAAAGCCGTGACAGCTCTCACAGCATATTAGACCTTGCTTGCCAATTGTGTGCCGGTGAAAATATGAATGAGTATTAAAAAACTGCCAGGACTTTAGTGATGAGATCTTGATTTAGATTTTAAACAAATAAAAAAATAAAAAAACGAACTATTTTAGCACTCAGGACTGACGCTCTTTGGTTTATTTACCAAACTGAGCGTACCAATTATTTGAGTTTGACAGGTTAAAAATAAACTGGATAAACAGGATCCTTTAGGATATGCAGAGCTGCTGGGGCCAAACTACTTTTCATTTAGTTTTTTTTACTTCTATTCATTGTCTGCAAAGAGGAAATTTATCAATTTTGAGTTATATTTCACAATATAAGTATACATTTCAACAATATTAATTTAACAGCCCAATAACCCTTTTTCTTGAATATTTATACCGTTCAAAAGATTTTTTCTTGGTTTACATTTTTTTTTTATTTCCTTAATTTTTCATTTATTTGCTAAAAAATGCCGTAAAACAGAAATATTGTTAAATATTAAACCTTGAAATAACTTAAAATCGTAACCATCAAAACTAATTTTAATATGCTGATTTGGTGTTGATAATCAATATGTTGTGGCAACCGTTACTCATTTTTAGAATTATTTTCTGAAAGTAAAAAAAAAAACAGTATTTATTTAAAATTAAAAAATTAAATATTTAGTAAGATTTATAAATGTTTAGTCACTTTTGATGAATGTAATGCATCCTTTCTGAACTTAAGTTTAGTGTACATAGAGTACATACAATCACATAATAATATTATTTAAATGTTCTGTTTTATTCATATTTTTTTGATTATTTTATCTCTCCCACTATGACCTCACTGTGACTGGGCAAACAAGTTTCTAAAGAAAATTGTAAGCTTTTTTTTCCCATTCTCTGGATGGGTTTTGAGAGAAGTTGAGTTCTGAAAGTTCACCTTGTTTTCAAAGATAAAGGAAAATTTGATTTCTCATGATATGCCTCCTTCAATAAACAGCTCTGCTGCAATCCACTCCCAGCTTAGGCATCCTCACGCTATATTGCATTTTACTGCATATGGCTTGACAGATAACAGAAGGTCCACACACAGTGAAATGGGGTTATATAACGTTCTTTATTGAGTTCCCTTCCATCAAGGGCAATGAGGCCATATTCATATAAAACCCAAAGCACATTCTAAAGACACTCATTACATAGAATATACTACTATACTGACTGCACTCTGAAGCTGAAGAATCGGACAGTCAACATCACAGGCAAAAAGCATTGTGTTGAGGGAGAGTTTAAGATGCCCTGTGATTAATGAGCTTCTTAACATACAGACGGCCTAGGGAATCTGTGTGCAAGAGCCATGCAGATGCACTCATATAAAAGGACAAAAAAAAAAAGTTAAACATCTTTTTTAAAACAAAACAAAAAATGTGCAATATGGCACAGAATGGAGAAGCTTGCCTTCTGAGGATAAAAAGGGCCGTTTAGGAATGCCCATCCTCTGTTATGTTTTAACAGTTGATGGAAATTTGTTGTGGTCCCTTTAAGAAGATAAGCACTTTGAGAGCAATACGAGAGCACGCCACTGAAAGAATAGACATCGGCTAGTGCTTAATGGGGTCTTGGTTTAACAACAATCTGTGTACGACGGGGCCAGGAACAGTATTCAAATGATAGTTGAAAGTTGCAGTAGTGATTCGGCCCTTTGTCATGCCGTGGCTCGAGCTTAAAATCAGCACTAAGAGCAAACATGGTTCAGCCCATCAGAAGAGATGACGGAAGTTAAATATAGACACCTGATGCCTCAATACATCTATTTTTTTTTTCTCTTAACCTATGATGCTTCATTAGATTGTTAGGTGGATAGTAAAACGCCATCTAAATGTGTGACCCCAGGCTGGGGGTTTGCAAGGGTTAGCAGGGGGGCTCAGCGGGCCTATTGCAGGGTAGGAACGATGAGCAAGATGGTATGAGGTGAATAGTTGGAGAGAAAAATAAACACTTAGAGAAGCCAAGTTTCCCTAAAACACTTTTCACTGATAGGGAACAGTACACATTGTTTCTCCATAAACAGTCCAGTGGATGGTCTTGGATGTCAATAAATACAATGGAGGTCAGCTTGAGATGGGTCTTACGTTCAGCAAGAAGGTACTTTAGGCCAGAGAAAGAACTGTAGAAAGAGAAAAAAATTAAATCAAGGATCTGATATTTATTCGAAATCGAAGAGCGAAGTTGGTTTGATGTCATTTTGAACAAAACCAGGCCGAAGGAAGTTTGTTTGGAGTTTATAATCAGTTCAAAGCTCAATTGCCAGAAACTTTGACGTCATGGTTTGCGTGTCCAAACGCTTTCAGATACACTGGAGGGCTGCTTTATATAATTCTAATTGAAAGCGACACTGTTCTTTTATGTTTAACACCGTAAAGCTGCTTGCTTTAAAGCAATCTATTGTATGAAGTGCTACATACATAAACAGGATTTGAAAACATATCTACTAGGGCTGGGTAATAAATATCGATTTCTCGATATTAATCGATTCTCATTTTTACGAACCGATATCGATTCTTAAATCTCAAGAATCGATTAGTCATCCTGTTTCATTTCAATGAATGGATCATTGTATCGCGGCTGCGCGCATCCCACAAAAAACAAAACAAAAAAAAAACACAATAATCTGTCCTTTGTTACTATTGATATGAAACAAAGTCTCAATTTTCACATTACGTCCATTTTCTTTAGAAATTCAAAAACATAAATAACGTTTTGGCGCTGTGGCGTGAGATCGCTCTGGCTCAGCTCAAGAGAAGCAGCAGCACTGATCTCTCTTCCGGGTTAATAATACCAGTCACAGCGTGAAATAAACATGAATGAGCATCTGAAAGTGTGTTAAAAGATAGAGTACAACTTATCGAAATCCGTATCATGTCACATTGATTCGCTCAATCAGCGTTTCACCCGTGGGAAGACGTCAGTTAAACAGCTTGTAATCAATGTCATGTATCGTCATATTTACCTCAGAAAACCCACAAAAACTCGTTAGTCAGCTAGAAAAAATAACTCTAGAGAGGAGCATTTTGCTAAATATATACACCATATTACATATGCATTATAATCTTAATGTTCTTCAAGATTTAATGCATATTTGAATAAATCTGGCAAGTTTTTATGACAGCCACCATTTAAATGTTTATATTTCATATAATCTTACTATAAAAATAAATAAGTGTAATTTAAGTGTTTGTATAGCTACAAAGTATAGCTTCATTATTTTCTTCATATTAGGTTAATGAAGCCTAGTAGGCTACAACTAGACTCCCATAGTTTACAGCATTAGTTAAGAGATTTGATTCCCTTGAGAAAAACGGCCATTTATTGTAACTGATATCCGAAATAATCGATATTGAAACGAATCGTAATAGAATTGCAAGCTTGTGAATCGAAATCGACTGGAGTTGTGAAATTTGTCTCAATACCCAGTCCTAATATCTACATCACTATAATCAGATGCTTTCTTAACTACCGATTTCTCACCGCTGATATTTTTTCCTGTGTGTTTATTTTGTTATTGAGAGGAAAGCATGCAGTACATTAACATATTTATCTAAACATCACTCCCAGCAGCATCGTGATGTTGGCTAACTGTATACAGCTGGTCAGGTATTCTGAACTTTTTTACTCCTAAGCGAAGAACGAAAAAGAACTTTAGAACTATCCATTTTATAATCTTACTATTAAATTAAACAGTAATTTTGATTTTAACTCAAGTGTTGCATAAAGCTGTCGTTTTGCACTGATTCAGGTTAAATTTAAGGATGATAGTAGCTTTTAGGTTTGCATTTTTGATTGCACAACACTCAAGAGCAGCAGTTGTGGAACTCACCACTGATGGCCTCTTGAGCGAAATATTTGACATCCATATCTTGATCTGTTGCCAGTTTCTCCAGCACTGGTTTCACTTCAGTCTGCAGACTGCTGTAATCAAAACATCAGGGGAACATGATGCTAAAGTGAGTCAGTCACATTAAGAGATGAGATTTTTTTCTGGCCAAATGTGGATGATCACACATACCTGCTGTCCAGCACAGGTCCAATCTTCTGAAGTGACTTGGCCACATTGAAGCGAACATTGGCTACCTGGTCGTTGGACATCTTTAAAACTACAGGGAGCATATGTTTGGTGGTAATATCTTGTCCACACACCTCAGACAGAGCCTAAAACAGACAATTTCATACATCAGGGATCATTAGCATGTTACTAAATTCTTGAAGTGAAAGCTTGATCCAAAAGATCCATTAAAGATGTATTTGTCAACTCAACACGAACAGATAAAAGTTTCCCATGCATTTTGTTTGAAGATCACCATTTGAGAAACTGCAATTACAAGTTTTAAATTCAGCTTGTATGTTGCCTTTGAAGGTGCCAAAACAGCTTTGCAGCACTGATGCTAGGTGTCCCAATATGCCGGTATTGACGTTAACCATAAAATATTGTAAACTAAATCTAAATTTCTAAAGTGTTTGAGAAATTCCGTCAAATAAACACACTAAAGCCTGTAAAGTATTGAAATAAATATCAGTAAATAATGGTAACTTTAATATAATAAAGTTAAATCTATTTTTTTAAACGTTCGTTTTATATTTCCACACAAAGACACTTCATAAAGCCTACCACTCTGTGCTTTGAGAGGGATCAGGGTGTGTGGCATGTGGGACATGAGCAGGAAAAGAGACCTTTAAACTATTTTCTGATATTTTCTACTTGTATAAAGTATGAACAGTGCATTTTATCTTCCACAAGAGCAAGGCATTTAGGCTGTTTGATTTTGCGCTGCTAGAGAAATCGAAACTAAAATCACCCGCGTGTGTGAAACATGCTTTACAAATAAACTTGTCCTTACCATATCTAATAACAAGGCCAAAGTGTGTTAAAAAGAATTTGATGTGCAAGGAAAAATGTGGGCTCTCTGTCGTACAGCTTTTTTCTACTTTACCACAGTAATACAAATATATCAGACAGGCCTATTTAAAATCAAACCAAGGAATATATATAATCCCCCGTTTATAATCCCCTTCGAAAATAGGTGATACGTGAGTGAACTTGGGAAAAGAAACAAAGAGATTTCATGCAGGGATGAGTCACAATTTTTGAATATTCGATTAGTTGATTTAATTATTGAATATCGAATAGGTTGTGCGATTATTCTCTAAAATAAAATCTGTGTTTTCGATGCTGATGCGGTGGTGACGCGTTCATGTAACCAAAGGGTGACGCTGCCAATAAAGCACATAACATCTGTCACAAAGAACTGCCAAAAGTAATGATTGTGTATGTGTGAAATATAACAAGGAGACGTTTTAAGTGTTTTTTGTGTCAGTGTCGGCTGCAAAGATCAAGTTGACAATGCTGACTCGTCATCTTCGCAGTGAACGTGCCTATAGAGAGAAATGCACATTTCATACGGATTGCAAAGAGTAGCTAGGCTAGTAGGTTACTTTTCGTTTTGAATTGTTTTGAAATAGAGAATTCAAGCTTTCTATATGGAACATTGTTAAATTAACTGATAATCGGGGGACCAGATCGCAAACCAGAATTAAAAGCCGCCAAAGCTTAAATTTATGGGCTCATGCACGACTCTCATTTCGTCATGAATCCAAATGTTTCCATGGCTGCGATGTAACATTTATTTGCCAACCTGTTATTTCATTTGTAAACAAGGCTTTGTGCTTCACTCGTGTCATAATATTCATATAAAACTGCATTCACCTACAGAAAAAATGTGTTTTGGCAGACCACCGCGGTGGTGCGGTTGTCAAGTTTACCTGCACAGCCCTAATTATTTTGGCCACAATAATAGTCTATTTAAAATCTGAGTGCAACAACCCTGACTGATGCCAAAGAAAAGTTTAGATAACAGCCAAATATTTCATGGATGCATCACCATTCTACAAAAAGAATAAATAAACTAAGACAGATTGTAATACATTTCGATGTCAAAACATGCGACATGCGCTTTTCCAGCTAGTACAACTAGCAGCTGTTTGTTAAAGATCAGGTCTGACTCACATTAATGCAGAAGAGGGTAGTCATCCTGTGCAGGTAGTTGGGGTCATTAGCCATTCCCAGCACTTTGGGCACAATGGTGTTCTGTGCCCACTCGGCTCCAAACTTCTCCACCAGCTTCATCAGGTTACAGGTGGCTGCCTCTCTGATGGCATACACTAAAGTTTACAGAGAGGTGTTAGTTTACTGACAGACTCCAACACATTATAACTGCAGTCAAACAAACAGAATTGCAAAAATAACTCAATTTTCTAAGTCTCACATTTAACACTGTGTGGGACATATTATGTGCCAGAGTTCAACACTCTTTAACACTTTAAATGAAAAAAAAAAAGTAACCTACCATGATCGACAAGCCAAGCCATGCACAGAGAATTGAGTTTCTCATCAAAGAACTCTACACCCTGGAAGCACGAGAAAGAAAAAAATACGTCTCAACAGTTAGATCAGATTACAGGACCCAAAGCGACTTGCCGTCAATAGGTTAGTTAATAGGATGATTCGTTAAAATGCTTTAAGCAAGACTGAAAATAAGAGCTGACCAACGGGCCAGTCTGATTACTATTTCAGGATAAAGTATTCAAGGACATTGACGGTCTGGGCTCACCAACTGTCCAGCCAGAAGGGGCATGTATTCGATAATTGCCAGCCGCACTCGCCATTTGGCGTCTTCAGCCAGCTCAACAATAGCCGGAAGCAGAGACTGTGAGAGTTGGCGGATTCCAATCACCTCGTTCACACAGTCCAAGTTGGAGATGATGTTGAGGCGAACCTCTGGACACTAAAGAAAGGATATGACAAAATTTGTAACATTCCAGAAAACATGCTAAAAACATGCTTTGGTTAATTACCAAAACTAGAATAGAAGATCTGAACGCAACGAAAGACAATTTTATGAAGACAGTTCACTTCGCGTATACAGACAGGAGCCATCTTAAAAAATAGTCTCGATAAGTCGATCCCCGAACGCCGTCAGAAGTTCGCTGAACTTCATACAGTTCAGATCACTCAGCACGACGTTCGTGGTTTGACTTATCGAGACTATTTTTTAAGATGGCTCCTGTCTGTATACACGAAGTGAACTGTCTTTATAAAATATCTTCTTATTAAACAGTCTGTACACTTACAAAGTTCTCAATGCTTCGTTTTGCATGTATGGAGCCTCATTATGTTATTGCGTTAGTGTGGGGCTATTTTGAGCCTTGTTAGTGGTATAAACTAGCGATTTCTTTTTACTTAGTAAATGCCCCCATTACTAGCATTATACGCTAAACAGTTTTTAGAGATAAAACTCTTTACATTCGATTATCATGAAAACAAATCTCAGAGAACGGTTGACTGTGTACCGATGTTTTATTAGACCAAAGGTTCATTGTTCGCCGGAGTTCTCCTTTAAATAGTCTTTAAAAAATAAAGGTTTATTGATCTTTGAAAAGGTGTATTATTGCATTATTATGCCATTATCATTATTTTAGATGTAAAAGGTCTCAGATCGACAATATTATCGTTCATAGCAATAATTTCTTGGACAATTTATCGTCCAGCAAAATTTGCTATCATGACAGGCCTATATGTTAATCTCTGCATCCACTCAGCAAGGATGTTGCCCATTAAATGTCAGTGTATAATTTCACAAGCATCAATATATAACACAGGTTTGACAACTACGTGCCAGGATTTGTTTTTGTTTTTACACAGCACTACTCCTGAACAACAGTGCAAGAACTAACAGCGAATAGGAAACTGTTTCCTGTCTTAAAACATGGATCAATGCGAGCTGCAGTCCAGGAGGAGGCTTTGTTCTATTTATTTCATGCAGTCAGTGTGACTGACAGATGTTCAAAGACTACTCCCATGCAACTTAAAGAAGAGCGATCGCAATACAGACAGCAGCAAGCAACAAAAAGCCCCAGTAAAATAAAGAGACGAGACGTGAGATAGTGTGCCGCACTCATCCATTCATCTCTCACTTCAATGCTTTCTGCTTTCCACTAAAAGGCTAGCATTAGCAATGCCTCACCTCGACAGGATCAAAGTGAGCAGTTGCACAGAAGTATCATCTGTGACTGAAACATGACGCAAATTACCTTAGCCAGACCTGTGCTGGCTCTCTCTCTCTCTCACACACACACACAGACACACAGCAGGCTTACCTCATCTTTGAGCTGGGCCAGGAAAAGGGGAAGCAGGTGCTCAATGGTGTTGTCTTTGCCTAAGATGGTGGAGAGGCCCATAATGACTGACGCCAGTGCAGACTTCACATGCTGATTAGTGTCTGAGACAAGTTCCTGTTGACAAAGGTGCAACACAATGCCATAAATTGAAATGTTTTGATACAACTCTCAATCACTTGTGATACCTGAAGGATACATAAAATGAAATCTCACTTTAACATCACCAAAATACCCATCAAAAACAACTATATTGCATACATGTCACACAAAAACTTCTATATTTATTGAAATAAATATATTTGAATACACGCACATAAAAAACGGGTTCAATAAAATGTATTAAATAAAAATGGAAGATATTGTTTAATGCAATGCAATTAAAAGAAATATAAAACAATATTTTTCAAAATATATATTTTCAAAAATACTATAAAAATAAATACTGCAAAATTACAAACATGTTGAATGTTTCTACTACAATGAAGGATGTCACAGCTCTCACCATGAGATTTTAATGTACCTCAACTACACTAAAGTTGTGGAATAAAATGTGCTGTGCTGTCATGAATCTTGACATTTTTTGGATCTATGTTGTGGGCATATACAAAACAAATGGCGTTCTCAAAAATACAATATTAGCTACCAAAACACCCGTCTAACAGCGGTTTGAATCTACGCAAGACATTTTCACCAGATATAATGGTACAATCCAGGAGAATATAACACATTAAGTGAGCCAGCCAGCGCAGAAAAGTGTTCTAGTGTTACTACAGCCAGTAGGTCAGACTAAAGACACAATGACACACCGTTAATCTGATCTTGTTTAAGTCTTAGACGCTTAAAGAACAGATGCTGACTCAAGACTCATCTGCCCGTAACTGACCCAGGATTGGAACTACACACCAATTAAATGTGATGAGCACTGGAACAACAAGGAACAAGCGATCAGCCTGAAAAGTGACAGATTGTAGAGATGTTGTTGACAAGTGCTGACCAACCCTCAACAATGTGAGCAAATCACCAGCATATGCGACCAAATTTCCCGCTAGGCAACTAAAACATGTCTTAAAGGGTCATGAAACCCCCCTCTTTCAGCTCAAGTCTAGTAAGTAAGTAAGTAAAATTTATTTGTATAGCACTTTTCTCAGATGAAGATCACAAAGTGCTTCACAACAAAAGAAAGCATTTACAACTCTCATAAATACATTGCATCACAAAACAAAATAAAATACATAAAATAAATAAAATAAACAATACGTACACATTAGACCAGCCTAACCACCCTACAATCTAGTTAAAAGCCTCTTTAAAAAGCAGAGTTTTCAGATGATTTTTAAATTTTTCCACACAATCCAAGCCGCGTATGGAAGGAGGCAAAGCGTTCCACAACCTGGGTCTAGCTCAAAATCTTTTTGAAAAATGCAACTGAAATGGGCGTGGCTAGCTGTGAGAAGAAGGGAGGGAGTGTGTGTTGTATGACCATCACTGTCACTGTCCCATGCATTTCGACTGTCACTAAAAAGCAATGGTAAAACGTGAGGAAATGCTAGATTTTTATATAGCTGGCAAAGTTAAAGTCTTATGAAGTACACTGACACTTTATTATCGTCCTTTCAAAAGTAACTGAATGCCCTACTACAAATATTAGCCTACAGTAATCGTAATTCTAATTAAAACATTAATGTAGGCTACATGTATATTTATAATGTCATTATAAAATATATAGTGGTTTATATAGACACTATAAATAATACATTTCAGAAAAAAATTACTAATTTTCCGCTTAAAAAAAATCGTTCCGTGCATAGTCATAGACAGTAAAAGAAAGTGCATAGTCTACGCGCCATCTGAACCCTCATAATAAATGACTTCTCATTTTACACACACACCTCTGAAGGGATAGAAAGTCCTCGGGATACCGCATCACTCGCAAGACGCAACTTGGATTAGATGTCAACAAGGCGAAGTCCATCATTCTCCACTTGTCGCAGCTCTCTCGCGAAAATGTTTGCAGCACACACCACACACTATAGTTTGGATCAGGTTTAGACGTGTCCATGTTTGATGGCAAACCAACCGTCCAGAGCCAGAGTCTAGCCCTGGCAGCATCGCGGGGAACATATTCAACGCACTTGGACTTTGCACCATGAAAACAAATAGTTTGCGTCCCATGATTGCCTCTCTCATCTAACGTTACTACGCGATATCACAGTTTGTCATGTCTGTCATTGGAAAGATCCACGTGGTGTCATGAATAATTAAGAGGGCGTGTCTTCTCATAGGATAACACCGATGAGTAATCAACGCACTGTGCAGTGCACTGCCATGTCACCCGCTACAATGAAGATTTTAAACCCGGAAGACGAAAAAAGCGGAAAAAAACTCAAACTTAACCATTTTAAACTTATTATTAAATCTAACAGATGCTAACATTGTCTTCAATGGTGTTCAACACACATACCTCTGTTATAATCTCAGAAAATTTGGTTTGGGGTTTCATGACCCTTTAAATAAATTGTACGATTTCCCTATTTCCCTAATTGTATTACATTGCCTTCTGAGCTTTACGCACGGTCACTTGGCTGAGAGCACCCCCTGTCGCCTTCTCTTACATTCATGCACTCAACATGAGAAACAGAGAGGCTTACACACACTGCGTAAAGTGAGTAGACGCACTAGATCTACATGCAGGCCTCGACAATAAGGAATCACCGATGGCCAAGAGTTGACGGAACCATCACTGATTGGCCACCACATCTGATGTGTGGTGTCTGTTGGTGACGTTTGCCATTTTGAATTAATTTATGGTTCATTTATGGCACTCAAGTAGTCGATTGTTTCCAACAGTGCCTAGTGGTTGAAGTAATTGATCTCTTGACTACTCGACTAGTCTATGCAAGCCTTATTTCCTAGTCTCTTTCACGTCTTGCGCTGGAACAGACAAAATCAATCAAAATGATGCAAAAATTCCTGTCTTGGCGAGTATCCTAGTAAACGTATTCGGCAAACGGTTGAGAAAGCAAACATGTACAGTATCAGTATATTGGATATGTGCATTATGTCTTAAAGTGTCTGTGCTGTTAAAGTTAATCGAACAACATAAGGCACACTGCAAAAAAATCCCTCACTGCTCTTGACTAAATTACACAACTATGCCTTTTATACAGTGAAGAATATTCAGGGGGTTTTTTTTACATTTGATACGTTTATTAAAATGTATGTACCTAATCTGTGTCTACCTAATCTGTATCTAACAAGTTTTAAATCTACCTTAAGAAACAGGAAAGCACTCTTTATTTCACTTGTATATGTGTTCTATTGTTTATTTGTGCTATTGCTTTTAGCTTGATTATTTGTTCTTATTTTATTACAGACTGTTAATTTGTCTTTAATATTGTATGAAATTCATATTTATCTAGACCTTTTCTACTTTTTATATCATGTAATAAGTCTGGTGAATAAAAAAAAAATTTACTAGAAAAAGGTGACTGAAGCCTTGGCTGACTGAGCATTTTACCTTAACACAGGGAAGAATGTGTGACATGATGATAGTCTCTCTGCTGTCCTCTGGCAAATTTTCACAGAATTCTGAGGATAAGTAAAATAAACAATCAGAGTCATCACAAACAACAAATTTGTTTGCAACAATGCCAGCTACAAACAAAACACTCATATCGCAATGCTGATTATATTACAAAAATAGTAAAATATATAATTTTTATGAGAAGAACTAAACACATTAAAGCTAAAAATAATAGAGGCAAATTTCATCAAATTAAAAATTAGATATTTAACGAAGAAAAAAAAAACATTCTGGAAATTTTTTTTATGAAATCTGCTGATTTATATAATGCAATTAACCTCATTAGGATTCATGATTAACGCAAGGCCAAGGTTATTTGTATATCGACTAGGACTGCACGATTATTCACAATTTCCATGTAATCGCACTTAAAACCGATTTGGCTCATCACAATTTTGAAATCGCAAAGGCTGCGATTGTCTTTTATGCGCAGCTTGTCATTGATGTACGGCTATTAAACAATGCTCAATCTGAAAGCATTGGGAGTTTGAGCCACTGATAGTGTGCATTTGAAAAAGCAACATATTATGCATTTATGAACCTCCTGTCCAACAAAAGACAACATTTAATAACATGATTTTACTCCAAATTCACTTCATAACGACAGTTGAGCATCCTTCTGTGAGATGATGTGGCTATTTACACAGAATAAGGCAGTCGTGTATTTTCGTGTTTAATCGACAATTAAAGCGTTTCAATCTTCTGTTTATTCAGCTACAGCGATAATTAAGCACAGGGATTTCCTGGAATGATGTGTGTTATTGTACTATTGTTTGCGCACTGCACTGACAAGCTACGCAAACAAAAATAATCGTTGCAATTAATCGTCCAGTCCTAATAGCGACAGACAGATGCTTATAACTTATTTTCCATGTAAATCTTTTATCCAAATTAAAAGCAGAGGTACTCAACTTCAGGATCACACATTACATGGCTGCTCTGATGCCGTTCTCTCACCTTTGACTTTGTTTGCAGCAGCGGCACGAACCTCAGCCTCACAGTCTTTCAGAAGGTTCTGGAAGGCTGGCACTAGGTCATTCTTTGTGATTTCTGGACCCACAGCTTTCTGCAACTGTAAATTCACAGAGACAAGAATGTCATTTCATATTTCCATTTTACTGCAGCACCTCAGTGTTTCCTGCAAACTGAAGGACAAAGGCACTTCCGTGGCACGCTAGGATACAATCAAATCTATTCTAGCATTGTGTTTGAGATGAGGTACATAACGTTCTAAAGCAGGTCAAAATGTCTGTTCATTGCTTTTTATAGCAAGGATATTTCTGGGAATTTATATGACTGCATTCAACATTTCTTTTCCAGTAAAATCTGACATTTTAAGTGGCTCAGGATAATCCAAAATCATCCAATGACATGACAAAATAATATGGAACTGCATTTAGGTCAAGTTGCACAACAACAATACACAACAATGAGTATCAAGCAGGATTATAGCGACCAGTGAACTGTTACGAGGTATCATTCTGAAACTGGAACCAGCTGTTGAACCTTAGCACATACTAGGGAAGAGGTTTCCAGGAAGCTTATATAACATTATAAAACAAAGTTATAAAGGTGCACAAATACAGATCATATAATAATGATTACTACATCACTATTCAATGGTAGAGCTCTGCCACTGCTGAATCAACGTTAATTTATGAACCTCACAAGATTTAATGTTCTGAAAAGTGGTTGCTCCATTTACATCAGATTCACTTAAGTCAAGCTCACAATAAAAGATTAAAGATTGTAGCTTTTGATGTATCAGTCTGCATCAAGAATTTGCTGATCGCAGGTTGTGCACATTGCACTTCACTCTAAAAATGCTGGGTTGTTTTAACCCAACTTTGGGTCAAATATGGACAAACCCAAACGCTGGGTTAAAAATTTAATTAAAAAATTTAACCCAATAGCTGGGTTTGTCCATATTTGACCCAAAGTTGGGTTAAAACAACCCAGCAATTTTTAGAGTGTTGCAAGGCGCACACACAGATTAGCCACAGTCGCTTCAACAGAATGCAGATTTGTTTTGAAACTGCTCCCATTGAATAAGAGAGCAGCAAGGAACATCAGACAAATTAAAACTATACAAATGAAAAGTTTGGGGTCAGCAAGATTTTTTCATTTATTCAGCAAGGATGTATTAAATTGATCACACGTGGCAGCTACAAAAGCCTGCCATTTCAAATAAATGCAGTTCTTTCGAACTGGAAAAATTTCCACAAAAATACTGAGCAGCAGAAACATTTTCATCTCTGATGATAAATGTTTTTTTGAGTGCCAAATCAGTAGGATGGGGGGGGGAGACGACAATTCACATATGAATTGAGATTCTATTAATAACGATATGTTGTCGGAACAAAAGGCAGTGGCAGTCGACTGCAAGAGCAGTCCAGCCCCCAGACAGTTTACAGTGAAGCATTTGAATGAAGCTTGGATATCAATATCTTGATATCTTATCTAGAAAACTCTTAACCATTAACAGCACAGGTCAAGCTTTTCTTGTGATCTTGCCGTCTCAGTGTATAGGTACTTTTTACACACGCGTTTGTGGTAATGTACAATATATGCTTGTAAAAGTCAACAAACACTTCATGTATCTGAAGTCACTAAATACTGAGAATGCAACAGCTTGTATTGTGTTTTTTATATTTTCCAAACGATCAGTCACTGACTGAAACTAGCTGATAATCCCTTCCTTGAGTAGATGTCTTCTCAACTTGACGCTCACATAAACCGATCATATTTTAATTCAGATATCACACCAGCAAGCAAAAAAAGCCCTCTAAAAACATAATATAAGCGGACATGACAAAAAAGTTCCTGGGGAACAAATATAAACAACATAACTAGTATTACCCACACCTTACACAATTAAGACAGGAATTTATTATGAATAAAATGGTTAAAATATGATATTATAAATTGATTGATAAAATAAAACAATAGCAGTAACACTTTGCAATAAGGGTTTATTTGTTAACATTAATCTATTAACTAACATGAACTAACCATGAGCAAATAAATTTGTTACTGTTTTTTGTTCATCTTTGTTAACGCGAGTAAATAAAAACCCAGCTGTTCATTGTTTGTTCATGTTACTTCACAGTGCATTATTTACATCATTTGATTTTAATGTATTATTAAATGTTGAAATTAACAAGGGCTGCACAACATATCGAAAAATTAGCGTTATCGGGATAATAGTATATGTGATATCCGTATCGCAGAGAGGTGTGAAGAATTACATTTTTTTATGTGCCAAGCATTTGTGTGTTGAATGCATGGGTTGTTTATCCAAATTCGAACAATCAAATGGGACCTTACCATCTTTATACCCACCTCCACAGTAGGTGCTATTAAGGCTTCAATAGAGATGCGTCACAAATGCAGGTACTGTGTAAGAGGTCATTCACATTTCCCGTCTAAAACGCCTGGAAAGCTCAGCCGCACTGCTATCTCCTTTCCACAAGCGCTTACGTCTGTCATTGCTATGCTATACAACTGCACTGAGGGCTCTCCATGATGATGAATAAGTATCAGCAAAGGTTTAATTGATTTCTAGCCCTTGTATTAGCTTTACTTGTAGATATATTTTTGGAGATGAGAAATAAAATCCCACCCTGTACAGCTATGATCAGCTGTTCTGGCTGAGCTTTCGATGTTGTTACGGAAAGGCAGAAGCTGATCGTTGGTTTCAGGCCAGGAAAAATGTGCTTCCATTTTGAGCGTGCTTGCCACCCGCCTGCATTTGAAATAACGAATTTGCACGAAATTTGATTCAAAAATCGAGAATCGTGACCGCAAAAATCAATTTGAAACAAATCGTGTGATTCCAAAAGATTCCAACCCCTTCAAATCAGCATATTAGTGACACTGAAGACTGAAGTCATGGATGCTGAAAAATCAGCTTTGCCATTAAAGGAATAAATGACATTAAAATATAAAACAATTATATTAAATTGCAATAATATTTCAAAATAATATGCATCATTGGCGAGCATAAGAAACTTCTTTCAAAAACATCTTACTGACCTCAAACATTTGAACGGTAGTGTAGTTATGATCATGCGGAGAATTATGAAAAATTTGAGGTGGGAGCAGTCCCACTGCATGCAAACAGCTCTTTGTGGCGAACACTCGGATTTTCCAATAAAACGTAAATGCACATAATTAACTACATGATTAGCACACATAATTATGCTTACATCTGAGAATTTGTCTGCAACCATGTAGCGAACCCTCCAGGACTTGTCCTCTGCTGCCTGGCGCAGGGTAGGCATCACCAGAGCTTCCAGATCCTCTTGAGGCAACAGAGTGGCAATGCTGACGCCAGCCTCCACAGCCAGGAGACGAACAGAATCCTACAGTGATGTAAATGTTTGCATTCAGATGTCAGAAGAAAACACTTTGATATTTACCATGCAATTCTGCTGCAGAACCAAGTTACATAAACACAACGAAAACCTTTCAAGACTGTATCGGTCTTGTCATGCAACGTGTGCTCAAAACCTTTAGCTGTGCTTTGTGGTTTTAGCAGTTGTTTAATGACAAAATTAGTGTGTGTACATTTTAGTTAGTATTACTGAAACCAGACCTGCTCATCAGATGCCAATGCAGTGAAGAGGGAAATGATGTCACTCTTAACATACTCCAGCTCCAACACTTTGGCAAATTCACCCAGTTTGGAGGCAGCTGCACGGCGCACCATGGGAGTGTCATCAGAACACAGGGTGCGGAAGTGCCTGAGGAGAGACGGAACATGTGGTAACGTGTCCATTTAAATGGAAAATGAAAACTATGAGATAGTCATTTTCCTTTCCACTTTGGTTATTTTAACATTAACACTACTATAACTATAATTATACTTAGTCTAAAAGGCTATTCATTCTTAGAGTGAATAATCATCAAAATACCCAGTCAGACCAGGGACAAAAATTTGTCTGATGACAAAATGTGTTATAGGTAGAGTTGTTCCGAACCCGATACTAGTAACGGAAATGCCGCCGATATCGAAAAAAAGTATGGTCTATCGGAGAGTATCGGTATTATCGGTATCGGAGAGTACTTCTAGCCGCGCGCTGATCCGATACCATTTTCTTAAACAATATCTAGTTATACACGCTTGCTTTGCTTATCGCTGCAAAACGGAGATCAATTCTTCTTCGCTGCTCTAAACAGTGGTTGCTGGTGGCAACACAGGAAGTCATGCTGTTGCCACAAGCAACCAATGTTTAGATCAGTGAAGAAGAAAACGCCCGTGCGCGCCCTGTCATAATGTCCGCAGTTTGGCAGTATTTAAGACTGGACCAACCAGCCAGTAAAACGGCCGACATGTCTCATAAGCCATACTGCAATTTCGAGGGGTAGAACAAGTATTAGCAACTTCAACACGAGTAACATATGCATTTGAAGACGCGTCACCCCGCAGAAACACGATGGCAGACGGAGGATGAGCCGCGACAGAATCAACAATCCCTGAAAGCTTCATTCAAACGAAGAGAAATGTTTTTAAAAAAAAACAGCCAACGAGCGATAAATATAACCAACAACATGTAATTTATCGAGTTTATTATTCTCGAAGACCAGCCGCTGTCAAAACTGAAATGTCATTTATTTAACAAAATTGTTTATTGATCTTCACTTATAAAGAGATTATTTTCTTATATTATTCATATATAATCTTTTTAGATAACTCTTTAGAGATATCTAAACAGATATTTATTTGTTGCACTTTTTTTATATAGTTACTTTGTAAATCTAAAATACCTTTTTCAGTTTACAGTATTAGATGTGCGGCTGCATTAAGTTCTTTTTCACTTAAGATAAATAATATATTGCTATGAAATGTAATTCATATAATAAAGATACTCTAGTTCACTGTATGTATTTGTTTAATTGTTTAATTGAGGGATAAGTCAAAAGTACATCATAATAATTCTATCAATTCATAAAGGGCTCATATGAATTGCAGCTGTAATACACACCCAGGTATCGGATCAGTACTCGGTATCGGCCGATACCCTGAGTCTAGGTATCGGAGTTTGTATGGACAGAAGTGCATGCCTGAGCTTGTATTTTGGGTTAAGCTGCGTTGCTTTGAGATTGTGGAAAAGAGAATCGTGCACATAAAACATGTTCAATGCAATCGCGAATCTTTCCTCTTGCCCAGATAACAATCTTAGGTTATAAGAATGTTTTCATAATGTTTCCATTAAGTTATAAAATTAAAAACGTTATTTCTGAATGTTCTAGGATGATTCAAAACATCAAGTTTTTTAGTTGTATTAATGTTATTTCTTGGTTATATGAACATTATTCAAAACGTTACAAGAACGTTCACTTCTCCCGTTATATAAACGTTGTATTAACATTCTTGCTTGGCTATAAGAAGAACATTATTCCAACATCATAAGAACGTTCAATTCTCCCGTTATATAAATGTTGTATTTAAACGTTATTTCCTGGTTATAAGAATGTTATTATAATGTTAAGAAATAACAATTTTAGGTTATACTGGGCTCTATTCTATTCAACAATATTCACTAATGTAAAATAGACCAGTCAATTCATTGCAGTAATTCCTCTCTCAACCAGTAGAAAATGCTTTCAACACCTGATTATGCATGAAAAAAAACCCCGTCATAAACCAGAAAAACGGCTTAATTTTGAAAACAAACAAAAAAAACGTGATATACATTTTTGGTCAAACCGCCCAGCACTAATTGAAAGCATTTTACTATTTCACCCAAAACTTCCATGGTTACATTTAGTGTTACTACATTAAGGAGTTTCATTCCGCTTTCATTACGCCATTTGATGTTGCGCAACGTTGTGGTGGTTTTTTATCAGCAGGAAAAAATGGTTCAACGAATTGATCGGTTTGTAATGTGTACCGAACCAAAAGCCTCGTACCGAACGGTTCAATATGAATACACGTTACACCCCTACTTTAAACAATTGTTGTACTATTTTGGTGATCGTTGGGAGCCAAAAAACGAAATTCAATAAATTGCTCAGACCTAATACAGGAAAAAGCATAAGATTTCGCTTGAGACTAGATTTGTTCCTGTTAAAAGTGGTCACCCGAAAGAAGCTTGCAATACAACTTATCAGTGCAACTGATTTGCAGCAAAAAAGAAATAAAGAAGAATATGAAGGAGAGAATGGTGGCTTGCAGAAGCCATGCTTGATAATTTCTTTGATAACCCTAAGCCCCACAACGTGACTGCCACTCGCGTGAACAAACACTAATCGTCTCAGATTTCGAACATTTGTCAGCAATTTCCACAAAACTATTGGCAAGTGAAAATCCGACCGAAAACCATGCAGTGTGGACCCAGCATAAGCATAATCTGTATTGTCAAATTGTTTTGAGTTTTTTTTTGTTCAGTATGTTCTTTGTGTGAACAATCCTGAATTAACGAGATCAATGTGTCCAACTTGAAAAAAAGTAGGATTAAAACACTCCTTACAAATATGTTGAACTTACTGGCGGATCTCAGCTTTGACTGTACTGGAAACTCGTGGGTAGCAGACACTGAAGAGACCACAGGCAGAGGTACGGGACGTGAACCAGTCACCACTGGCCAAACGCTTTACCAGAGGCTCAAAGTGCACTTCCAGGTCCACTGGAGAGTGCTCATGGGAGATCTTCCGCAGGGACTCCACTGCCTTGTCTCGCACCACGGTCTCTTCAACTGTAGCCAGACTCTCCAAAGGGGGCTGAAAAAAAAACAAGACACAAGTAAGAAAAGTCACAGGCAAACAAATTTAAATCTAGTTCATCACAGTTAAATTATTTTATCGAGTCAATTTCCTAAGTCAAAGCTTACAAGGAGACAGTGCACATATTCAGGGCCTCCAACCAGCAGGGTGAAGTTCCCCAGTTGTTCAGCAAGGGCAAGCAGAACTTCATCCTCATCATAGATGGTATCTGATTAATCAGAAAACGAGAAATTGAAAGTTATGTACAAGAGGCATCCATGAGTGACATAGTTTACAACACCTGAAATAAAAACGTTATAGTAATGTTTGACAAGGAAATAAAACAGCAGTCATTAAAAAAACCTTACCTGTGAGGAAAGGTAGAAGTTCAGTGCGTGTCCTTTCGACCCCCAAAGCTAAGGCGATGGTTGACAGTTTTTTAATACTGTTCAATCGTAACTAGAAGTAGAAAAAAAAAGACCAGAAACCTGTAAGATGATAGTCTAAATATATTTGATGGTGAAACAGCTGACCTTTTGAGAGGGACCAAACAAACTACTGGTCAATGCTTCTCTAAAATGATGGCTTGATAGATGACAGACTAAGGAATAATGACACTGAGACCAAAAACACTAAACGTGTTAATTTCTTACTTGATTACGGTACTGTATCTTTACAATACGAGGAAATTAGCTAACCTATTGGTGACGTTAACTGAAAATCAGTAACGTTACTTTAAAGTATTTTAACATTATGCACAAAATGTACAATATATATTCCACATTTAATTAATACTACAACGTTTGATATATCATCATGTAGTGTTTTACTTACTGAATTAGTTATCGTCTCTAGAAAATAACAAACTGTGAATGTGTTTAAATGCCAAACAATTCAACAGTCGCGTCAGACTTAAGTCAATTACGTTACTATTCTCTAAACCCTCTAAAATACCGTGCTTTGAAATGTCCTGTACTAAAATGATGGGATTCTCTAGTAGCTAACGTTAGTCCGTGACATAACAGGTAAATCACAGAACAGCTAGCACTAGCCATGTTAGCAATCACACAAACTTTTCTGCGTCACTCTTTATTTACAAACGAAACTGGGTCATTTTACACAGATTAAATAATACATTTGGTTGTGCTAAATGACATACGGGTGGCTTTAGGTGTCAGTCAATTTGATATATAATATTGTAGTGTCTTAATTCCTGAATTATCTTCTCGTTACTAGCCAGTAAGCTAAACTAGGACAGGCCCATCTTACCGGTTGCTTCGCTATTCGTGTCAAGTCAGACGTAACGTTACGCGTTCTAGAATATTTTTAAAATTAGAAATTGTTGTAAATCTACGTATTTTGTTTACCTGAACATCTTCATTTCTTAATTCGTCAATTAACACAGCAATAGGGTAAAGAGAGTCGTCGCTGTCTGCTCCCGCCATCTTGGATGCTAAACGTTGTTTAGCTAGTTCCTGTCTATGGTTCCTGGCCTGCTACGGGGTTTCTCCAAAGGGGTTTCCCACGAACTCGGGATCGAGCTTGAAATGCGCGCACTCCAGTGTTCTTGTTATTCTTCAGATTTTTAATCGCGGTTGGTAAATATGCTTTTACTATTGCCAAGATGATTTGCTGAAAGATGAATAATACAAAAGTTCTAATTAAATATTCCATAAGTGATTCAGAATGATTGATGGGCCATCTGCTGAAATGGCTTTTTTTTATGTTAAGCTACACATTTCTGGCTATAGTATATCAAAAGCATATACATTTGGGGACAAATGAGTAAATTTCTGTCCCAGGAATATAAGGACCTTTAAACTTCCTTTATATTTACATGACTTGTGTTGTGGCCATTTTATTTACACAAATATTGTTGAAAATCATATTGAAGAAGCATTACTCATCCTTTTTGTTTGTTTCATATAATGAAATAGCATAGGCTACTATGCTTTTACTATTCTGCTGCAATGCAATGTTTGCGGTCATTATCCACATTCTATGCGCATAGAATACCTAGATATTTACATTTTGCCAAAGCATTCAGGCTGCTTCCAAAATCACATACTCTCTTGAGTAGGTATTTTTAGGGGCCAAGCACCGAAGGTGCGGAGGCACCTATTGTATCTGTGCCGGTTCTTATTATTATTATTATTAGGGGCCAAGCACCGAAGGTGCGGAGGCACCTATTGTATCTGTGCCGGTTCTTATTATTATTATTAGGGGCCAAGCACCGAAGGTGCGGAGGCACCTATTGTATCTGTTCCGGTTCTTATTATTATTATTATTATTATTATTCTTCTTCCGACTGGGCGTCTATGGCAGCCCATAGACCGGTTTGCGGGAAAGTTGTTTTGGTTTGACATTCTGATAGAGGACAGTCCCAACTTTAAATACACCAATTTTGGTGTCTCTAACTCATTCCCTCTAGCGCCACCAACTGTCCAAAGTTTCACTTTTATTATGCTAATAACTTTTGAACCGTAAGACCTATCAACAAAATTCTTTTTTCCTCTTATTCCTGAGCTCATGCCGATTCGATCGCACCCTATGACGTCATTTTCCGTCATAAAAACATGGCCGCCATTTTGAATTTTCTTAAAAACGTACTTTTGCGAACTCGTCCTAGACCGTTTGTCCGATTTTCACCAAAATCGCACCGGATCATCTTCAGGCAGTGCTGACAAAAAGTTATGGAATTCAAGATGATTTGCTTAACGGTTTTTGATAAACGCACAAACAAATTTTACGCAACGCTTGCGAAAACAGACGTAAGGCTGTATCTCCGCAACGCTTTATCCTATTCAGACCAAACTTGGTACATGTAATCACAAGCATGACCTGAGGCTACATGCAGCGTTTCGGCGCAGCGCCACCTAGTGGTCCGGAGATATGAAAAATTGCTATTTTTGCTCGTAACTTCTGAACGGTTTGTCCAAAAATCATAAACTTCATCTCGTTAGATTCAAGGCATCATGCCGAGTCGACTGATATCCAATTTTCCCAGATCGGCCATTTTGGCTGTCGGCCATTTTGAATTATGTGCTAAAATGCTGTATTTTTTGAACGCATGAACGAATTGTTACGAAACTCGGTATGGGTCATCAGTACGATGCCCTGAAGGAGCCTGAGAAGTTTCGAAACAGCGCCACCTAGTGGTGAATTTTTTTCTTCAAACACTTATAACTTTGGGTGTGGTACACTTATTTTCACGGGAGTCATATTTTTGAGGTCCTGAATCGTTGCCGAGTCCAATGATATTAAACATGCTGGGTTTCGTCTTACGGTTGGTGTAGCGTAGCGATTTAGCGCGAAAAAAACACTTGGCGATATCTTCAAAACCGCTGTTCCGATCGAGACGAAACCACCGTCAGAAACACGGAATCATAGCTTGTTAACTATACGCTAATGCCCAAATGCGAAAATATTGATAGTAAGGGGTAGTAAAATTCAAACAAAGTCATGTGTCAGTCATTTTTTACGTGTTTTTTCATATAAATGTTTATAACTCGGAAGTAAATTGAGATATTTGCACCAAAATTGACACACATATGTATGGGGTCACTCTGAGGAAACATACAAAAAATTGTGGGACTGAGCCTCTTGGTGGCGCTATAATAGAACAAAACGTGAAATTCCCTTTGACTTCAATACAGTTTTGTGAAATACAATGCTATACTAAACAAATGCATTGGTGTAATATTACAAAACTCAGTGTGTGCCATAAGCAGCATGCCCTGAAGGTACTCAAAAGATTTTGAGACAGCGCCACCTGTTGGTCAAAAGTTATAATTAATTTCTGAGAACGCTAATAACTTTTGATTAAATTTGCCTATTGCAATGAAACTGATCTTAATAGATTCCTTCTGTTATGCTGAAAACATAGATATCAGGTTTTCCATAATCAGACAAACTTCCTGTTTGCCATCTTTATTTCTTTGAAAAACCTTCTTTTTCGAACTCCTCCTAGACCGTTTGTCCGATTTTCACAAAAATTGAATCGTATCATCTCCAGACCGTGCCGACTAAAAGTTATGAATTGCACGATGATAGACAAAACTGTTTTCGTATACCACAGCATCAAAATGTAGGCATGCTGCCAAAATTACTATTTAGGCTTTATCTCTGCAATGCCTTCACATTTTGACACCAAACTTTGCATGTGTCATTGTCACCTCACTCTGACCACATCACATCTATTTCGTAACTGCGCCACCTATTGTTAGAAAGTGATAACCCATTAAATCATCTTATAAGTTAATGTTTATGTGATTTTTTTAGTCATTTGCCCAAAGTTCTCTCAAAATGCCCTTAATTGCTCCTTGCTGCAGTTGGTCTGCCACTCCTTGCCATTTTGGCATATGTTGCCGCTTCTTGCGCTTGGCCCCGGTAATGGCTGCTTGCAGCTATATTTAGGGGCCAAGCACCGAAGGTGCGGAGGCACCTATTGTATCTGTGCCGGTTCTTATTATTATTATTATTATTATTATTCTTCTTCCGACTGGGCGTCTATGACAGCCCATAGACCGGTTTGCGGGAAAGTTGTTTTGGTTTGACATTCTGATAGAGGACAGTCCCAACTTTAAATACACCAATTTTGGTGTCTCTAACTCATTCCCTCTAGCGCCACCAACTGTCCAAAGTTTCACTTTTATTATGCTAATAACTTTTGAACCGTAAGGCCTATCAACAAAATTCTTTTTCTCTTGTTCCTGAGCTCATGCCGATTCGATCGCACCCTATGACGTCATTTTCCGTCATAAAAAAATGGCCGCCATTTTGAATTTTCCAAAAAACCTACTTTTGCGAACTCGTCCTAGACGGTTTGTCCGATTTTCACCAAAATCGCACCGGATCATCTCCAGGCAGTGCTGACAAAAAGTTATGGAATTCAAGATGATTCGAAGAACCGTTTTCGATAAACGTGCAAACTAATTTTACGTAGCGCTTGCAAAAACAGACGTGAGGCTGTATCTCCGCAACGCTTCATCCTATTCAGACCAAACTTGGTACATGTCATCACAAGCATGACCTGAGGCTACATGCAGCGTTTCGGCGCAGCGCCACCTAGTGGTCAGGAGATATGAAAAATGGCTATTTTTGCTCGTAACTTCTGAACGGTTTGTCCAAAAATCATAAACTTCATCTCGTTAGATTCAAGGCATCATGCCGAGTCGACTGATATCCAATTTTCCCAGATCGGCCATTTTGGCTGTCGGCCATTTTGAATTATGTGCTAAAATGCTGTATTTTTTGAACGCATGAACGAATTGTTACGAAACTCGGTATGGGTCATCAGTACGATGCCCTGAAGGAGCCTGAGAAGTTTCGAAACAGCGCCACCTAGTGGTGAATTTTTTTCTTCAAACACTTATAACTTTGGGTGTGGTACACTTATTTTCACGGGAGTCATATTTTTGAGGTCCTGAATCGTTGCCGAGTCCAATGATATTAAACATGCTGGGTTTCGTCTTACGGTTGGTGTAGCGTAGCGATTTAGCGCGAAAAAAACACTTGGCGATATCTTCAAAACCGCTGTTCCGATCGAGACGAAACCACCGTCAGAAACACGGAATCATAGCTTGTTAACTATACGCTAATGCCCAAATGCGAAAATATTGATAGTAAGGGGTAGTAAAATTCAAACAAAGTCATGTGTCAGTCATTTTTTACGTGTTTTTTCATATAAATGTTTATAACTCGGAAGTGAATTGAGATATTTGCACCAAAATTGACACACATATGTATGGGGTCACTCTGAGGACACATAAAAAAAATTGTGGGACTGAGCCTCTTGGTGGCGCTATAATAGAACAAAACGTGAAATTCCCATTGACTTCAATAGAGTTTTGTGAAATAAAATGCTATACTAAACAAATGCATTGGTGTAATATTACAAAACTCAGTGTGTGCCATAAGCAGCATGCCCTGAAGGTACTCAAAAGATTTTGAGACAGCGCCACCTGTTGGTCAAAAGTTATAATTAATTTCTGAGAACGCTAATAACTTTTGAATAAATTTGCCTATTGCAATGAAACTGATCTTAATAGATTCCTTCGGTTATGCTGAAAACATAGATATCAGGTTTTCCATAATCAGACAAACTTCCTGTTCGCCATCTTTATTTCTTTGAAAAACCTTCTTTTTCGAACTCCTCCTAGACCGTTTGTCCGATTTTCACGAAAATTTAATCGTATCATCTCCAGACGGTGCCGACTAAAAGTTATGAATTGCACGATGATAGACAAAACCGTTTTCGTATACCACAGCATCAAATTTTAGGCATGCTGCCAAAATTACTATTTAGGCTTTATCTCTGCAATGCCTTCACATTTTGACACCAAACTTTGCATGTGTCATTGTCACCTCACTCTGACCACATCACATCTATTTCGTAACTGCGCCACCTATTGTTCGAAAGTGATAACCCATTAAATCATCTTATAAGTTAATGTTTATGTGATTTTCTTAGCCATTTGCCCAAAGTTCTCTCAAAATGCCCTTAATTGCTCCTT